TAGTGCTCGTGAAAGATATCAGAAAGAGGACTCTCCATTCATACCGTTCATGTTTTGCCTCGTTTCCCGTGCAGTTGGGAGATAAGAGAAAATGCATGATGAACTACGACCGCCACAGGTGCTCAGGTGCGCCTCATATCGGCGGCACTTCAATGTAGCCTTTAAACGGCCAGAAGATGCAAAGGAAGAAGTCTCCTGCAATACTTGTACAAAGCGATTCCCAAAACACACATCTTGCCTGGCCACCTGGCCTTCATTTGTGATATGATATGAATGATGGGAACCACACATTCATCAGTTTCAGTCTCAGTCATGCAACATCTACAGGGCCACACGTTCGCTGCCCCGTTTGTGTCTCGGAGCCGATGGCCTGCCAGCGTGGCATGTGGAGATGGAAAGGCGATCAAAAAAATCATCCTTCATTTTGGCAATGTCATCATTCGTTGGATACCGTTGGATATGTTTTGAAACTGAATTCCTTTATTTCTTGAGTTTTTGCAAGTCTTGGAGGTGAGGAAGGTTGTTCATGAGGCCACCGCATAACTTTCCGGGTGGTTGAAAGTGATGTTTGAACATGGGGGTTTCAACTCTTGTTGCCAGGGGTGGCCAGTAATCACACCAGTTGGAACCTGTTGTTTTTTCATGGAAGCGTGCCCGCCCGCCCAAGCCACTATATTATAATATATTATATATATACATTGGCTGAAGCAACCAAAACAAGGAGCTCCCAGTGTACACTTTTGGGCCTTGCACTCTTTCTCACTGCTCACGTTTGGTTCACACACCTGTGGCAAGTTTGCGGCATTTGCCCACGCAGATTTTGTTGCTCCCAGCTTGCCTGGAGAACTCAAGCCTTTTGTTGATAAATGTGTGGTGCGATATATATTTTCAGTGAGATCGCTTGAAACATTTTGAAGCAGTGATTACTCAAACACATGTTCCTTTAATGTGTCAGTTCGGTTGTAAGTTCAGGGGTGGCACGTGCACCCACAAAGGCATCAAGAACAATCCCGTGCAAGAGATCTGTTCGTTTGCAGCAGGCAGCAGGAGTCTTTCTAAAACTCTAAAACGTGCCATGGTAAAAACATGCATAGTTCCGTTTCCCTACATTGCATGATTTTCCAACAATGTTTTCAGCATTGAAGCACGATGTGTATCGAGGGTTGGGCCTGAATTCTGCACGGATCGCGCACAAGCACTCACAGTGCAAAGAGTGGAACTTGCACGCACCTTGTATAAGGGTTTCCGGAAACAAGAATGCTTGTTCAGCTAGGCAACCATACGTTTGCAGGTGCACGGTGCAAGGTGCCAAATTTGCATGTTCTTTGTTGCACTCTGCTCACTCAACCACATTGGCGAATGTGCCCCAATGCAGGGCAACACTTTCGGCACAAAGACCCCTCATCAGCACCATGCAGGCAAACAATATGCCAAATAATGGGGAAGCCAACAGGCAAAGATCAGCAAAGTGTCGACAGGCAAAGATAGCTCTGGCGGTGACTTGGCAGGTCCACTCCTCAGGTCGTCTCCTCAGTCGCTTTGATTGGGAGACGGGACACCGATTTTCTTTTGACACGTTCACTCTTGTACTGTTGTCCTTGTAAGGCCTTTTGGTGGCGATGAAAAGACAGCTTAAAAACTTCCCACATTTACGCCAACAAAAGCAGGGGCCTTGTTTTTGCGAGATCCGTTGCTTGCAGCGACCAGTTGGCCATGAACCTATGTTGCGTGCACGATCCCTATCTAGCATTCAGATGCAACAAGCATGCGATGAAGGGGATCCACATCCCTTCGCATTGTGTTCACATCGGCACATTCCAACAGTCCAGTTGGCTGACATTGGAGGCATGAGCTGCAAGGAGCACCTGAGGCCACTTTTTCTGGAGCACGTCGAAAATGATTTTGCTGTTTGGTCATGTGAACAAGGCAAGCACCCAACAGCGCAAAGCACCACCACCTGGAGTCTTGCGCTCAGGGTAGCTCAAGATAGTGCACGCTGCACACTTTGGATTTTCCATGGCGTGCTTTTGGCTGGAGGTTGGTGTTGCTCCTGCCATGCCAGACCCCCGGGTTGTGGCAAAGGACCGCCCGATCCTTAACAGTCCACATTTGAGCAGTTCATTTGTACCGCCTCGAGGGGCACCATGACCGAAGAAAATTCATGAGCTGCAATAGATAATGATATAGCCAGCAATGGTCAATAGTTGTGATCAAGCTGCAAGCTGGTGCAGGACAAGTCTTCGCTTGATAGAGAGGCTGCCAGCCTTTCGTGCTTTGACCGGCCGTTGCTTGGATGAATCATGATAGAGGGCCAATAGAGGGGATGTTTGCTAGCCCGTTGTTTTGGGTAGCGTTGGATCACCAAGGTTCGCGAAGCTCGAAGGACTGCTTGTTACTCCACTTAGTAGAGAAGCCACTGCTACCCACGATAATGCTGAGACATATGACTCTCTTCACCAATTTCAACATTGCACATGCACGAGGTTCACAAACACATTGAGGATTTTCAGCCTCCTCCATCTATTTGTTTGCTTTCTCAGACGGAGTCTTGGCGGCTACCGCGTGGCTTGCCCTCGGCCTGGGGCTTTGCCGTTTTGCGGAGCTGTGGCTGTCCTTTCAAACGGCTTGCTGCCTGGGTTTTGTCGGGAAACTGGTGGCCGAGTCACTGCCCGCACAGTCCTGTCGGTGGATCGCTTGGAATTGCTTGGATGAATGGCGGCTCGAAGTCGTTGTCAATGTCTTTATAAACTTGTGGAATTGTGGTCAGCTGTTGACTGTTGACACCAATTTATATAGTCCCCGAAGTCCAGGGAGCTGCCCTGGCCGAAGCTCGTCAAGGACTTACCCTCAACTCCTCAGGTCCCAGGTCCCGGCCTGTTGTTGAGATTGATGCTCGTCGTGAAGAGGCTGCCCGCTTCCTGCACTTGTTGGCTTCTTCCCGCCTTCGCTATGTGCTTGTTGCACCTCTTGCGTCGGAGTACTTCGGTGGCCTTCGGGCCTTCGTCTCTCAGTGGCCCGTCCTTCTCGCTCCTGCGGGTTTCCAAGCCTTTGCGACGTGCCTGCAGGGCACCTCCTCCCGGTCACCAGCCGACTCCCGGAGGATGACCGGGTCATCAACCGCGTTTTCAGCTTTGCTTTCACATGCTTTTGCTTAGACATGCTTAGACTTTTGGACTTGTTTCCCCCACGTTTCACCTGCCTGCAGAGAAAAAAGGCTCACCTGTTTCATGCAGAGGGTGTTGGAAAAAAGTCTTTGTGCCACTTATAGGTGGTTTTCTCGAGATCTCTCATTTTTACTAAGACAAAAGTATGCTTGCTATTGGGAACGGAGTTTTTCATTTATGCAGGCCGCACTTTTCCATCCCTCAAGTGACCTTTAACTAGAGCTGCACCTGGATGGCGTTTTATATTAACACCCTTGCCAGCTGCCAAGCTGCTGGGAAAGTTTTATCTCGTGCCGTCCATTCTATAAACACCATGTTGTGTAGAAGGCCCGGCAAGTGACCCCAACCATCATTCACAGGGGATGGCACATGTATATTTCTACAACTTCAGGCTGTTGTTCTCTTGGTCATGATCGCTTGGACCCTTGCACCCGCTTCGCGCATTGGCTTGGCCACACGGTTGAGGTGCTCCTTTGCCGACTAAGCGGCAACTTCGACCCTGCCTTCCTGTGGAGGAGAAAAGTGGGCACCCAGGATGGACACCACCCATACACCTGCCCCTCATCGAAACCAGCGCAGCCAAGTCTGAAAAGACTTCGCCACCCTCCCCACTGTGAATAGCGACTTTTCGGCCCAAAAGGTCATCGTCTGTGAGTGCCACCACATTCCTCAGCGCGTACGACCACCTCTCACGCTGCAGTGAGATGCCCGGCTCGCTGCCCTCCTCCACCTTTGTCCTATGACCCTCTTTCCCAGCCTCGTTGCAGCCTGATTCCGAGGGCTAGGCGCTAGATCGAAACCTCTTTTGCGGCAAGTTCTTATGCAGCGAGTTCAAAGGTAAAGGATATTTTGTGTTGCCTTTGCGAAGCGAGTTGTTTGCAAAAAGGATTAGGCGTACCCGAAAGCCTTGGCCAGTTCTGTGGCCAATGTTTTTTCAAAAGGTCTGGACCGGAGAAAATTCATCTCACAGGGTTTCACTACATACACAGTCCTTTTTCTTTACGTGACATTGTTTCCGGAACATTTTCCCACGCAGGATGTGCAACAGGATCAAAGCGAAGTAGAGACTTGGCAGTTGGAATTGTGGAGATAGGTGCGGGACGATGGACAACAGGGCCGGCGGAAGGTGCTCAACGGTTTTCAATCAATGGCGCCGACACCTGAGGGACCGAGCAAGATACCAACAAGTTTCATGATAGTTTGGTTTCTGCACTGGCCAGCGTGACTCTCAGAATGTTTGCAGCCAATGTTCGCCAACATTTGTTGCGTTGCATCTAAGCAGTGCGGCGAGGTTTGCCAAACAGTCAGCAGTGGCTGAGTGCCCTGGTGGGTGAACTAGCCACCAGGCCGCGGCATGAAACCCGAACATGCTTCTTGACCGCAATGTTGCATAGAAAGAGGTATGCAACTTACATCAAATGTTTTCTTCATCCCTAAGCTGCTGCAGCCTGTGCGGAGCTGAACTGACCAATACTGGTCGCGATTCGGACCCCGAGACGCTGTGAACCAAAATGGCACTCTCCGCCCGAGACAAAGACGCAAGGTTTGTCATGGTGACTTGGAAATCTGTAGGTGATTCCCGTTGTTTAGAATTTTCCACACTCGGTTCTTTTGTGTGCAAGCACTGTGCCAGCACAAGGAAAATGATTTGATGTTTGAGTTGTCAACCAAAACTGCGCAATAGCAACAGCATGCCACATTTTTTCCCACATGGTGTAACATCGCAAAACCTGACATGACACACCTTGTACATCGCAAACCCAACACGCAACCTGATGGTTTCACAGTTTGGTTAGGTGTAGCCAGACTCAACACGTGCAACAGCTCTTCACCAATTGGCAATGTTGATGTTTGAAGCTGCCCTCCCACTCCGGCTGTGTCCATCTCGTCCAATCGAAGATGCTCGTTGGCAAAGGGCCTCAGCAACAGTAATTATTGTTTTTTTGCGCGGGCCATTGTCAATCGGCAGCTGTGAAGTCACTCCCTCTAACATAGTGCAACTGCATTCCGCTCTTCGCATTCCATAGCTGCCTCATGCCAGCCGAATTCACCACCTTGTGGTTGCAAATCTCCATTAGTCATACATCAGTTGATGTTGCTGGTTTTGTTTTAGAGCCTTCCTAGTTGCCTGCTTTTTGAAAGCTTCAGTAGCAGCAGCGAGTTTAATGGGAAAGTGGCTAGCATTCCCAATTAGTTATGTCACACCCATACAGGGTCGTGCATGATGGCTGACTGAGGTGTGGCGCGTGTGCGCAAATTGGCACCCGAGGACTGGCTTGACAGACCAAAAACCTGACGGTGCCTGTGCCGGGTTGCATTTTGCTGTGAGGAAACTCAGAAAATGATTGACGAAGCAAAGCGTGACGCACCTGACATCTGGGCTAAGGCCTGCCTCCTGACACCTTGGCAGTGGGTGACAAAAATGTTCCTTGTGCATTTTGTGCTGCGGAGGTTGCCGTGGAGCGAATCCTTGAAAGTGGTTCTTCACAGCTTATGCCAAGTGCGTCGGCGACGTCTGCTTGTTCCTGAGCGTGTGCAAGGAAGACACCATGCCAAAGTTATGATGAGCGCTTTGGGTTTGAGGTGAAGACATTGGCATCACGCTTCGCTTACGTACCCAAGCACGGTTTCAGGTGAAGACATTTCCGTTGTTTTCCTGCGAGTCTTTGGGCCTTCTCAACCAATGGGCCATGTCTGCAACGGCTTCCAAGGTCTCCAGTGAGATCACCTGCCCTTCAGGATGTGCGGGCTTGACCAGGCACGTGGCTTGCATTGAATGAGTGATGCAACACCAAGACCGTGGCGATGTCAGGTATGGGCACAGGGTCGGTGACTTGAGCAAGTATGCAGCAATGGAACGCAACTTGGTTGACATGTGACTTGCACTTGGATAGACACAAGACTTCGCGGACATCGTGGGCAGACGGAGAAAATATCTTAGGCGAAAACCAACTGACCTCTGTGCTCGCCTACTGCCCGACATGTGAACTGATCTTTGATGCCACTATTTGAACATGACCCTTGCCATTCCAGAGTGGGTGTGCCGCTTGTGCTAGTTCCAGCCGGTGACATCCGCAAAGGGGAGTCCAGGCCTTTGACATTCTGGCATCGATGCAGATAAACCGACAGCTCAGAGAGGTGAATCACTGTCCAGTTGAACAATCCGTTCGGCCTTCGGTGTGAGTGGTGTGATGTGGCCTCAAGGTGGCAGAGGGACCCATGGGGTATCTCCCAGAGCGACAAGGAGACCGAAATGAAGTTGAGCGATCTACACCATGCAAAAAGCGGCCGCAAAGAGAAATGCCTGCACACAGTCGCCGCATGTTCTACAGTGGAGAGACCGGTGATGCTACGCCCTTCTTCCACCGCCTGGGCAAGACGAATTGCAACGCTGCCGTGAAGAAGACACCATCGGAGGCTTCCAGGTGCGACGACCGTGGTGCAGCTCTACAGCGCTCGTTCCACCGGCGCCAAACCAGCGCCCGGAGCCGTGGTGCAAAATGCGATGTTGCGAGCAAAGGAATGTTCAAGAGTCTAGCAGATTGCAGCCTTGGTCCTGGTTCCTTCTTTTGGCTCAGAATGAGAAATGCCCAATAAACAGATCTTTAGCAAACTTGTTTGGCAATTGTTTTTTTTCTAATTATTAGGGCTATTGGCCCCAAGTCCCTAATGGTTCAAAGTTAACTGTGAAATCTAAGGATGTTTGGCAGTGTTTAACTTCGACATGTTGTCAGAAGTTTGCCTACCAGTCAGACTGTCACATGACCACCCACAATAAGGAAAACATTCCTAATGGCATTGGTCCTGGCTATCATTTACCAGCCTTTTGTGTTGCTGACTGTTCTTTGGTGTGGCTGATGGACATGGTCAAGAAGGACGTTGGAATGTGATGGTAAACGCCCTTGCCAACTTCATCTTTTTTGCTCGAACCTTGATTGAAATTGCCTTGGGCCTTTGATCCTTAAAAGGGGCTGGGACAGGTGCCATAGCAAGTTTGGCCCGAACCAGCTGAGGCTGCCATTGTCGCGGGTGACCAGTGACTTTCTTGCACCGGCATGCAATGCCTTTGTCGGCGAATGCGAGTCAAGTGTGGGTCGGGTCGGTGTGGTTGTAGAACGATCTGAGGTATGTCGTCCGTGACCCTGTTCGTGTGAACTATGAATTGCCAGTTCAGCTGAAGGATGGACGGGAAGTCACTGTTGTCACACGGAGTGACTTCAGCACCCCGGCAGCAAAACTTAGTCAAAGCCCGTGATGGGGTGTAAGTTAGATTATAGCTACAATTGCAACATATCACATTGGTATATACGTAAACATGAATATACATGCATATATGTATTGTTTCTTTTATGTAGTTAGTAAGACTACATAAATATCCTTTCTAAATATATATATATCTATATATTATAGTGCGGTGCACTATTATAGAAGAAATGTACCTAGGTAAGATTAGGTACATATTCTATTTGCACCGGCCAGGGGTAACTGGAAGATATATACAGTTTGATTTTGTTGATGCACACATTAATTGCAGGGGTCCTGCAGTATATTCTATTTAGAGCTGACGGGGGTGAACTGAAAAAAGGTGTATCACGTGGTAAGCTCAGCGACTGAGGGCCAAGAGGAAACCAAAAGGAATCAAAGGGAAATCCAAAAGAATCAAAAGGAAACCAAAAGGAAGTCAAAAGAACATCAAAAGGAATCAACAGGAAATCAAAAGGGAATCAAAAAGAACCAAAAAGAATTCAAAAGGAATAGAATGGCATTTAACAGGAATTAAAAAAGGAATCAAAAGGAAATCAGAAAAATCAAAAGGAATTAAAATGACAGAATTGACAGTGACAATGCGGGAAAAAGATACTGTTTTCTGCTCCGGATGCTGGACATTTGCAGGAAAGTCAGCGTCTACTCTTCACTTTTTTTGTCTATTTATTGGTGCCTTTTTTTTATGACCTTCTATTTGCATACGCCCGGAAATGCCTTCTATTTGGAACCTTCCGGTTTATAGGGAAAAATGAGCTCTTCTATTTACAAAAAACCGGTATTTTTTTATAATAGTGCACAGCACTATATATTCCTACACAGACCGTAGAGTTCTTGTGCTGCAAGTCGACCTCTGACATGCGCTGCCGAGTGTATGGATATGTGTGAATTGAGGCACAGGGCTGCCAGTGTTTGAAGTAAAAGACCTCCTGACCGAAGAGGACTGGTCTCCTTGCACACGAAAAAATCATGGAGAGGGATCAAAAACATGTCAATGTTTGGTACGTTGCAGCGGGTTTGGTGGAGTTGGGCTTGGCTTAATTAAGCCTAGAGATCACAACACAAGGTTACCACCAAGAACGTATATAACATACAAAATCAAAAATGCATCAAAGAAGAAGTTCCCCCTCACACCTTGGTCACCTCGGTCCCTTGCTTTGGTTTGCTCGGTCTCCTTGTGTCGCCCGTGGATGTCGGGCCGTTGGGGTCTCGGTGGGTTCCAATAACTTGACTCCACAACCTGACTTGTGGAAACTCACCAATGCAAACCTCAATGGAGCCCGCCTCGAAATGCGGTATATAGAGCATACCAATGCGCCCTTGGAATCTTTCTCGCCATTTTGTATTGACCCACCTGGAAAAGGTGTTGCCGTACTTTCTGTATTGGGATCCTTACTGCGTTGTGCTAAGAGCACCCTTTGTCATAAGATTTGAGCATGGAGGAGTGCAATGCTATTCGGTCAGCGGCACCAAAAGAAATGTTGGAAAGGAGTTTTGGCCTCAGTAACGGAGAGGAAACTGAGAGTCTAGATGTTTCCCCTCAGTATGAGGTGAGACGTCGACGGACAAAGGCAAACCCATCAGTGCAAAGAGGGCAGCCAAGATCTTCAAGAATCTTGATGACTCTTGGAGCAGCTATTGACTCCCCCTCAACTGTCCAGACCACTGTCACAGATGAATTCTGAGACCTTTCGACCAGCCAAAGGAGAACCGGGACAAGTCCTTGGATGCCGAGGAAATCGCCGAGTTCTTTAAAGAGGCTTCAAGCTGAAAACACCGGAATGCACGGACTTTTGGATGAAGCTATCCTGAACCCAGTGCAGGCTGCAGATATGGTGGACTTTAGTTGGGAGTTTCTCACCGCGAGGCAGGCGTGAAGAGCTTGTAAGCCAAGTCTCTTGCTAGTTCTTGTGATCCAGGCTGCCCAACATCGCAACAACTGGTCTGAAGGCTGGGATGCACTTGAGGTGCATGATTTCTGGAGAAATCCGGCCGATTTTGTAGATGTTATAGATGTAAAAGACACTTTTTTATAAGTGGAGGTGGGAAAAGAGGAATTCATCACAGCTGACTGGGACGGTTTCTTCTCCTCGGCCAAGACGATGCATCCTGAATGGTTACTCGTACTGCATGCCTTGGTAGGATGTAGGATGGTGTGGAATGTCCTTTTGGGCCCAACTGAGAGCGATCGTGAATGGCTGTTTCTGGCCCAGGTTCGCTCGGCATTCACGACAAACTTGGATGGGGCGGCTTGGATTCAGCTTCGTATTGAGTCATAGTCATAGTGCGTCTTTATCATGTAAGTAGGGAACTCCTGTGAGATACATGCACTAGCACCGACAACACCTGTGGTACCATCATGAAGGAGTTGCTACACACAATTGAAAACTATCGTGCAAGCACAATGGACAATGATGGGCATCAGCATCCCAAAACAAACCAAGGATAAACCATAGCCCCGCAATAGCACCTTGTTGCTATCCCCATGTTTCCACAAAACTCATGTTGTTTGCTTGGGTCGTTCCTTTCAGGGTGTTGACTTGAGTGAAAGACAAGTAACTTATGCAGCCACGCAAACATGAGGTTGTCTACAGGTTCTCTCACTTAATATACAGTACTCGTCATGACTTGCAAGCAGGCGCAAATCCATCCATTTGGCATTTTTCTTTCCGACAAAGCTATTTTCGGCTACAGCTATAGAAAGACAATGGAAGGCAACAGTACAGTTGTCCATGAACAACACCCTGCACCATGTCAGAGGTATTCTGATCATCCTTTCCTTGAGACAGTATTGGACAAAGTTGCCGCTGTGGCGAGCTTAGATCTTCTAGCAGGGTCCCTGCACAGTTCCCGGCTTTGTGAGCAATGCACATTGACGCGCGTGCCTGTCGCAAACGCTCGCAGTGCGCCGCAGGTCACGGGCTTGTCTGAAAGATTGGTGCGAAAAACAGCGGAACCTATGCAAGTCCTTCTCTATCCACCTCATGGAGGTCATTACTCTTGCCATCACGACACGGTGCCTAGGTGGAAGAATCATGAAACACATCGGGCGTTTGCCTTCTGCAGTGCATGGCGAGATCTTTGCCTTCTTTGTGACTGCACCGACCTGCATCTTAGCTGCACGACCTGAGGCTCCTGATGGACTAGATGATGCACGCTTCATGACTGTGTTCTTCTTCCTGAACGATGTGGCAGATGGTGGTGAGACAGTGCTTTTCGGGACCGACTTGAACGGCACCTTTCCAGAAGACCGCGCGTTTGCAGGGGAACCATGGCAGAAAAAAGCATTACGCCATTTGAAAGTTGCACCAATCAGATGCTGGATGACTAAGTTTTGGTTGTTTTTCATTCCAAAATTCGTGGTCTTCTAGGCTGTCACATGACCTCCCACGACCCATATTCAAACACTGCACGTTGGGCACTGAGGAGGATATTTGGGGCCCTATTGAGTCCCAATGCCAATCCGTGCTCAGCTGTCCACAGCCATCAAGGGGCCACGCAATGCCCCAACCCTTCTCATCCGCTTTGGCATCTAGGTTGCATTCCTATCCTAGCTGTTTGCATTCCTTGTATTGCGAGAAGTCCAAGCGACAAGTCTGCCTGAGGCAGTCAAACCACGCATGGGCACAGCCCTGTTTTGGTACAACATGGCCGTGGACCCGAAAGGCTTGAGAGAATGATGATGGGGTTGGATCTGTGAGAGACGTCAAAACCAACACAGCTGCCAAGACTATAGTGACAATCAAAAGGATCTTTATATATACACCGGTGAAAACTAACATTTTGGCCAATTCTTTTGTTTGGGGGGGGCATATGTTAGTCTAGTTTCCGAGCGGACACCGTTGAGACTAACCTAGACCAGATTCAGATGTGCCATGGTGGGCCCTACGGGTACTTGGCATGGTCCATGTTAGCCTCCACCGGGCTATGTTGACCTCTACCGGCGCGGTCTATGTTAGCCTGCGTTCAGTTTATAGTCAGAGTGCAGTTGGTCCATGTTAGTGTCAAAATCGATCATAGACTGAGAGTAGGAACGGTCCATGTTAGCCACACGCCTGACTCAGGTGTGTGGAAAGTTTGTGTCAGTGTGGACCAGGGACTGAGAGTGGAAGTGGTCTATGTTAGCCACATGCCTCACTCGATATCTGGAAAACTTGGTGTCAGGTTGGACCGTGGACTGAGAGTAGCGAGAGTGGGAATGGTCCATGTTAGCTTTTGGGTGGGCCCATATCTTCTCGCTCCCACGCTGCTCCACACTGTCCTGGTTTTCTTTGCCCCTCTTCTATGTTAGGGCTTGCTGGCTGCAGATGCTCGAAATCCCAGTATCCGATATGTCCTAGGAATGCGCCGTTTCCAGTGTGCCATGTTGGCCTCCACCGTGCTAAAAGAGCTGTCTAGTTTTGCACCTGCAGTACATCGGTTGAGACTAACGTAGACCATGTTCAGGAGGCCCCTACAGGTATGTGACGTGGTCCATGTTAGCCTCCACCGGGCCATGTTGATCTCTACCGGCACGGTCTATGTTAGCCTGCGTTCAGTTTATAGTCAGAGTGCAGTTGGTCCATGTTAGAGTCAAAATCGATCATAGACTGAGAGTGGGGAACGGTCCATGTTAGTGAGGGTCCAGAAATTGCCAAAAAAGGCGCTAATACCGTTTCCCCAGGAAGTTGAAATTGAGTTACGGTCTATATATGTTGTTTTTCCCCGGAGTATATATTTTTACAGGTATAGATTTTATGTTCTTTCTTTTGACAATCGTTTTTTTCTGTAGACTATTTAGTGGTTTTCCTTTCGGCCTGTTTTTTCTATAAACTTTTCTGTTTAGGTCAAACATGCACTCTCAATCCAAAGAGACTATGTATATATAGATAGGTTGGATCATGCTTGAACTTCTGCAGGCCACATTGGGCAGTTCTATTGGTCAAGCATCCACGGAGGCTGCCCCACCAGAGCTGACGAGAAGTGGGCGGCCAACGTTTGGCCTCTAAGAGCAACGTTCATTTCGTACGATTCGCTCACCACGATGCTTCACATGAATTCACATGACATGTTTTTCGATCTTCCTGTGTGCTCTTTGTTTACTATTGGCTTTGCACTCGTCCTCTTCAGGCTACATGCGAGGGCTAAGAAGTCCAGGAAGGAGCTTTGAAGCTATTGAGCCCTGGGACGCCCTGAGACACCTGAGACCTGGTGAGACCTGGACATGCAGCTTGACGATCACCGACTTCATGTTTGGTATGGATGCGTAGCTGCCAGCGCGGGTGAGCTTGATGCGAAAATGGCCCTTGGCTGAGTGGGATGCAACATGCCAACGATGATTTTGGGTTTTTGTGGATCTCACCAAGGCTTGTTCTTCCATGCTCATTGGTAATGATGCAGAATACACAAGTAACAAGTATTTCAAGCATCGCTTAGATCAGGATGCATGAGTGGGCTTCGCTGCAGCTTTTGAGGGTTGACCAAGGGACAAAAGCAATAGTAGCCGACACGGGCTTGTACATTACTTTCCATAGCCGTGCCGCATGCTGAACTGCCAAAGAAGCAGAGAACTAGAAAGCATCTTGGAAGCACAGGTTCGGTGCACTTCATTGCTCCCCCATTGTTGAGCCCTCGCCCTGTCAGTACTCAGGCTTGAGCTCATGAAATGCGGTCGGGGTCATGAACTACACCTAACACATTTGCCCTGTGCTCGCAAGCACCGTTGCACAGCCACGGAGCCAAGAAGTGTTTTTCATTGCTTGCTTTGCCATTAGGATTTTCACTCTGCAGGCTTGTTTGGAAGATGTGGAACTTGACTTTCCTTTCTCCGAGGTTTGTCATGAAGTCATTCCAAGATCTGCCCGACGGTGCCCTGCCTGCGAATCCCGCGCTGTTTCTCCGAGTCGACCATATTCTCTCCTCGCTCCGCTCGAGCGGTGTGAGGTTCATGTGCCGGCGATGCAGCTACGACGTATGCTTCGACTGTGGGATGCATGACAACTGTTTGATTGATCGATCGAAGGACTCGAGACTCGGTGGCACTGTGGTCAGTCAACCAGACACTTGAGTTGGACAGGAGAGTTAGGTGAATGTAGCCAAGTTTTGTTGTAGTGATTTACAACTGAAGGGACGCCCAAGAATCAGGCAGAAGACCTTGCGCTCAGTCTTCAAGGAGTATGCGATGGGACATCAAAGAAGCCATGCGGCTGCAACTAGTTACTAATTGAAATAGGAAGATCCAGGAGCCAATGCACGATGAGACACTGCGAGGTGTGGCTATCAGCACCACTTATGACATCATTTCACCTAGTGATGGGCACATGCGGCGACACCAGCACAAGAGGCGCCTTCGCACATGTTGCAAGTTAGCCTAGTAGCCATCGTCAATATTGAACAATTTTCAAGAGGTGGATTGACTGGACAAATCCTCGCTTGAACTGATCGCGCTGTTTTGGTTTGTTGCAACGTCGGTGTTTGGAAATCACTGCCCAGGGGCCTGGGAGTTGGTGAGGACTGCAGGTATGCAGCCAGGAAACCTAGACACACCTTCAAGCACATTGCGCCGCCTGGTGCAGCGGCGAAGCACGCGAAGCGCGTTGCCGCGCACGTTGAACGCTGAGGTGTTCAGTGATGCCACGATGAACGTGGACACATTCCACTTACCAACACCATCGGAAAGGCCCAGTTCACGCAGCTCAGCAGCTGAAATGACTGGGAAAAAATCATGAAGAGACTCTCAAAAACGTGGCGCATGATGGCGCCCAATGCTGAGGAGAAACTCCATCATCATCCGATCCGACCATCGCAGCTTGCCTGTTTGTTTGAGCCAAGTTGGCCATGCGCAGAACAAAATCCCAGAGACCAAGATGTTTAGGGTCAAACAGCCGATTGAAAGTCTAAAGGTTTTGACTCTTTCCACGTTCCTTTTGACAAGGACTTGGCACGAGCAGCCACCTGCCAGCAAGTAGTCACCCTTGCTTTTTGCGCTGGTAGGGCCACAGAGTGTTGGCTTCGAGATCAACAGTGAGGAGGACTTTCACTCCCTCATTGCTGCTTTTAAAACTTACTTAAACGTGAATATACATATAGAGCGAGAGAGAGAGAGAGAGACAGATTTACTTGTTTAAAGATCGATAGGCATATGCATAATCCTATCCATATGAACTATGTTTATGCCTATGTGTTGTGCCTATACATGTGTTTATAGATGTTTGTGTTTCTTTGGGCCAACTGCACTCAGAGGATGGACTTTTTCGGAAAGTTGGCTTTCAGGTGGTGAAGCGCTGCATGCAGCTGGTGGATGTTGTCGCCGCTGAAGTGGCTGCCGGCTTCGATTGCCTGGACTACGAATGGCTGCCCAAGCGTGCGGAACTCAACCGACTCAACCACTGCGGGTGCAAGACCTCGGACACAAAAAACATCCAAAAAAACGCACTTTTTGCGTGGAAACTGGACATATTCTTGTAAATTGTGTGTGTGAGTTGTGCAACTGACCGGGATGGTTGGTTTGATGGCCAAGGTCCGAAGAGCTCAGTACAGAAAACCAAGACCCATCCTCAGAAGTCGGATTCGAAGATACGGAAAGGAGAAGGAACGAACGCAGGTTTCACCAAATCGTTTTTGCACCCCGCCTGCCCCAACCAAGTTCTTTGAGCAATGTAGGGGTACACATGTTACCTAAGGACCTAAGGGTCCTAAAGAGAAGATTGTGTCACCTCAGGAGTGGTTACTTGACCAAGCACCCGCGTCGTGGAATGGTCCTGTCACAAGCGCAGAGGCAGGTCCAGTGGTTGTTCATCACTTCATCAATTTCAATCTTCCTGAGTGGTGACTTAGGCGGTTCTTCGTTCTCTCACAAGGCAGGGGCATTTTGAGGATACGTAGGAGGGCTATACAATATTGTAAAAGAAAATTAGAACGTGTACTGCTTCGGCTCATGGTGCAGGCTTGCTCCAGTGGCACAAGGACGGCCATGTGGAGTAGGACAAAAGTCTATATATCAAGCAGCCACAGTCCAACACAGTGCCACACTGCAGGACGACTCCAAAAATTCAGAAGTGCTTGGTGCTCTTCGAATTGGCAGCACCACAAGTGTTGAGAACGATGAGGAGAGTGTGATAGTCTTTTGTCTTCGCATGTCTCTGCTGCGGTCGCTGCGAAAGGCCACGCGAAACGCGCGTGGCGTGGCTTGCAGGAGCTGCGCATCCAGACGGGTGATTCTCACTTGATCCTCACTTCTCCGGAAGGCGGTCACTGGGACATGATGGCCGCCACGGCCAGGTCACGGGAGAGAGATGTTTGCTCTTGTGACCGGGAGGTGATGTGCTAAAGGAGTGGGCAGAAGCACTTCGAAAAGAGGTGCGACTACTTTGTGCACAACGGAAGTGATGCTTGATGAGCGAGACTTTGTACGCTTGTTGTGTTCAGTTGGCGTTGAGGTTGACATTCTCAAAAGCCACTGTCACTTGAGGCACAAGACCCACCAGCCGAAGAACTGTTCTTTGCCGTGCACCCATGCCTGTAAGAGCCTCAGAGTGACGGAACTGTCCTGCTTACTTGCTGCTGCATGCGATCATTAGAAGGGATTGTTCATGGAAAGTGTGCGTGTTCGGCAGGTCAAGATCTAAAGATCTTAATTCATCGACTTGCCGCCCACCTAGCTTGGCCCGGTAGAATCCCGATGTTGCCACAAAAGACTTGGCTTCGCTTGTTGTGACAAGGCTTGGATGCCGAACCGAGCCTGTCACAGACTCGGATCATCAAAAAGGGAAACCATCCAAGTAGGGCAGCATTTGCTCAGGTTGGCCTGGCTTCTCGAGGGGGAAGATGCACCACGAGGCTATTCTGCTGCTACAGTGGCAACTTGGCCGTGAAGGACTGTGAAGGATGCACAATGATGCACGTATCATTATTTGCTATTATTTGGAATTTGGAGCCCGTCAGAAGAGCATGTGTTCCTAAGGGTATGTACGCTGAGAAGGCAAGTCCGTTTAAGCAGATGTGGCAGCTTCCCAATAGCAGCTTTCTATAGCATTTCAATGCAAGTGATGTTCCATCCATGTCGCTTGGTTCTGCGCAGATCGACACTTTGATTCGAGCAGCAACCGAGCTACAGAAGCTCCAGTCCCTTGGATCAGCCCTGCTATGCCTCACTGAAGCGCGCTAGTGGGTTTTGCCGTCGCATCTTCAAAGCTGCCTCTTCAATCTTCATCCATGATTAAAACAGAAGCAGTGTCCATTGTTATTGCTGCCAAGTTGCTAAGTTTCGATTTGGACTGATGGACAGATGCCCAGCCAAGGCCAATAGTGTCAGAGGTGACTGCACCAGTGAAGGTCTTTGGAATCCTGGCAGCCAGTGTTTTCCTGGTGGTCCACTGGATGGTTAGTGTCGTGACTGGTTTCAACAACAGTGGCCTCTTCCTATTTGGTTGGCCACTCTGATGGTCAGAAATAACATGACTGAAGGATGCTTATGGGATTGTAGCGTCGGACGGCGCGTTCTTTGCGTGATTTGTTTTTAAGTGGACTTTGTTGGGAGTTGCAGCTCCTGAGCTGAGCCGAGGAGACATTCACGGACAGCTCCGAGACCTTTTGCTTTTGTTTCACTTCTACGGGAGGCCAGAAATCTGCCCTCATGGTTTTTTTCCTGGGAATGCCTCAAAATATCGTGGGGATGAGCTTCTTGACCATGGTGGGGTTCTGGTGCTGACCAACTTGTTTGTCAATCTGTGTCCCTGCTTCCATGCGAGGCCAGATGATGATGAGGAGGACTGTATAAACCGACGCAAAGAAAGTCGCGACATGTCATGTCCTTGGACGCATGACTCACCTGAAAGTGTGCAGGAAGGTGACGATGAACCCATGTCCTATGTGCATCTTGGCTGAAATCTTTGGTATACTCGTACTGGCGATGCCAGGAACAATTCAGCTTCATGTTCTGAGCACCGAGGTTCAATGGGGATTGGGTAGATCGAGGCCGCCACCAGTTGGAAGTGATGCTTTTGATTCTCTCCCTGAAGAAGCTTGGTTTGCAAAAGCAGATGTGGGTCAGTGTGGGTTTAAAATGGCCCAAGAGAAAGAAATGCTTTTTGTGACCCAAATCCACCCAAGATTGATGAAAAAGATCTTCAATTCTGAAGCTGATGTTCTTATTGCGCCCAGGATCGTACACCCAAAGCAGGTGTGGCTCAACAGGGGCAATCACGAAGACCGTCAGCAAAACCTGCGCACCACCAAGATAGGCGGGGACGGAGTCGCGGCAACTGAAAGCTCGTGCGAATAAATGCTCAGGACTGTTCCAAGGGTGGATGATTAGGGCCTGGATGTTGGGATCAGCAACAACCAAGCCAGTTGTTGCTTTTGCGTCCTAGCCTTGTTTAAGATGGCAGGGCCAGGGTGACAAAACGGTTGAGTGTTTTCTGGCACAACTGAAATCGAATGACTGCACCCTTGAACCAGAAGACATCATTAAGGTGCATGAAGTCCATAAATCAGACACTGTAGATTCATAGAAGATATTTGATCGCGGAGCTATACCATAGACCTGGTGGTCCCATGCTGCTTTTTTGAAAAAGCTTGCGACCACGTGGTCTGGTTGAGCGGCCAGAGCCATATGTGAAGTGAGATGGAAGCCAGATTCCTTTAGAATTTGGCCGCTAGAAATGATGAAAGAAGTGCTGGGGAGCTGAGCAACTCAAAGATTACCGAACGGATTGGACCTCATAGTATGAATAGAGGTCCGCCAACTATATGCCCATATCGCGGTTTCATAGGGTATGAGACTACGATGCACATGCTTCATTGCGCAGCTCAAACTGAAGTTATCCCGCAAGGCAGCTTGGGCTTTGACAGAGCTTGTCCTTCACTTATTCTGTGGCACACACCGCACCGTTTGAAAGTGAATGAATGGTCAAGAACGCATGTGCAGCCGCTTGCTGCTTGAGGTTTTGAAGCACTAGGCGCGGAAGAGGGGCGAAGGATTTTTGAATCCTTCCAGTCCTTCTTCGAATGGTGCCACGGCTGCACCTGAAACCCTGGGCTGGGATGTCTTGCACCTGGAAACAATGCCTCTCAGATCTTCGGTTCAGACGTAATGGAACCCTCTTCATAAGGCACCTTTCAGGTTCTCCTTCAGTACCCACATGCAGTTGTGTGGCATGCGCGAACTTGGGACCTCGCGATGGCGCAAGACCACGCGAAGGCGCACCATGCGCCAGACCGTGCCACTCGTGCCCAAGGCTTCCGCTTGCTGCCCGCATCGAGCAAAAAGTCTTGGTGCTACATGGCGGCCTTGGGCCTGGTGTGGCCTGGCAGAAGTGGGGCCCGACTGGACGACCCTTCATGGCTGTTGCGCTCAATGTCTCATATTTGTTGTTTACTGTACTTATTACATGTTCCTTGGTGGTGGCGCGCCCGGATGAGAACGAGCACAGTGTTCAGATGATTTATGAACATTTGCGCCAAGTCGCACTCAGACCGGGGTGGCTAAGGACTGGACGTTGGAGGATCTCTCACAGGTTGAGAGGCCTTTGGTGTCCAAAGAGCTGCATTTTACTCTTGAAGGAGTGGCGCACTGGCTGCACAAACTCAAAGCTCCGGAGGGATGGTCAAACGGTTTTTGCTTATGCTTCAGTTGACCGGGGAGGGACTGCTAACCAATCGCATGTTCAGCAAGCACGAGGTGTTGGACATGTTTTGACCATTAGAGCACCGCGTTTTCTTGCATTTCTAGTCAAGTCGGACTCTTCCAAGGTGTACAACATCCTGTGGTCTGACCCTTTGACCCACAAGCCATAGCCTTAAGGGCGACATGTCCGTGTCCAATGGCACTGACACCCTCCACCAGGCCCGAAAATCGCCGGGATCCTTTGAAGAGCTTTGGCGTTCTCAGCTCAGCCGTTGGGCGCAGCATTTTCGATTCTTGAACAAAACCACTGGTGACTAGCACGTGTTGAGGTGCATGACAGTCGGAGTCTTAAAGAGAGCGCAGGGTAGCATCTCGAGGGATCTAATTTGTATGCCTTCTAGATCATTCAATGCATTGAAAAGCTTGGCTTTTACACATAATCAATTACATACAGTCACTTCCTTCATCTTCCTTCCATCGGGTTGGCATGCTGGCCGCTGAATATACCCAAAACACCAGGTCCGCGTGACAAGCACTGGCAAGTCATGAAGAACTTCGGCCGTGGCTCCTGCATGTTTGGCTTGAACGATCTGCGGCTCGGGCTTCCCTCATGCGACGAGGGACGCTTCCATCGACTCCAGGTGATGTGACCCAGCGCTTCTGCAAAGCAGAAGGTCTCGAGCTCGTAATTCGAGTCTTGGAGGAAACGGGACGAAGATGGACGCAGAGTATGCATGATGCCTTCATTCGAGTGGTCACAAAAATGGTTGGTTCAGCAAAAAACGAACCATAAAACAAGACCCGTCTCAAAGGAGAGTTATAGTCTAAGCAACTCTGCCGAAAGCTCAGGATCGCATCAGTTTACCAACACATGCAAGGGCTATGAACTCATGCATGATGGCCCCTTGGCTGGGACGGACTGATTCCGTCTCTCCGCTTGCTTGGGCCGTGGGTCGGGCCACTCAGGCTACTTGCTGCGAGTGTTCTCAGCGCGAAACTACATGGGGTGGCTCAGCACAAAATATCGGAAGCTGAGAAATCGAGATTTGTGGCAGAAATCTCGAGTGGCAGAAAAATCTGAGGACAGTCCCCAACGATGGCGGAATGCTTTTGAACCTGGGACATTCAATGTATTAAGTAGTGTGATATCAAGTCAGTCACCTTTCGAAACCAAGAGACCAAAGCCATGATTCTCATTGAGGATTGGATACGGAGAAGATTCGTCGTGATCTGAGAGATGCAAGCATTATGGACCCCCGCTTGCGCCCACAGATGCCGGGGTCAAATCCAAAAACACCGCGGGCGGACCCTGAGAAGACGGAGGTATTGGTTCGTTCGTCAGAAAAACGGGATTGCCAAAAATGGCAAGGGATCGCAAGGGCCCCTCAAATAGAGCCTTTTAAAGGGCAGCCTTTACCTAACCATTATTTTGTTCCTCTCCTGTTCTCAGCCGACCAACTTCTTTGCATCGTTTCAGAGTAAAGCCACTCTACTTTTGAGTGAACTGAGGCGTGGCTCTGTATCACTTGTCGTGCGGCCACGCAGTGTGGAGCGCTTGACAGGACCAATTCAATGTCTCTTCGAGACCTTCTAAATCGGAGCCACCTCACCAGCAAACTTCCACCGGTTTTGCGCCAGAAATGGTGACTTCATGACGTTCTCAGGAGCTAACCGAGGCAGACAGAACACAGAATTGCCAGGCTGGAACAGACAGAGAAACTTCGTGCCCAGATGTTTCGGGGGTATGACTGGAATTCGACTGCGACTGCGAGGTTCTATTTTGAGCTACGAACCTTATTGCCCAAGAAAGCACTTGATGCAGCTCATCAAGCCCGAACAGGTGACAGAACAGCTGATTTTGTGTGTGAAGTTTGCCGATCTTCAAACGGATTTCCCGATCGAACTTCGCGCGGTTGAAGTATCCACTCTTTCGTCTCAGGTGAGATGCTTCGGGTGGACCCATCGAGAGCCTTGGCTGAATCCAGAGCTGAAGGGACAGTCCATGGAACAAGATGTAGCATGGCTTGTGCCATGCTTCCTCGTATAAGGGTGAAGCCATGATATCACACAAGAGATTCCGTCATCGGCCTTCCTTTCTCTTCAGACCTCATCCTGCGGTTGCACGTTCTTTGTTTAACAAAAATTGATGACGGTTGATGCTTCTTTCTCTTCAAGGACTCTGACGACTTCCGCTCCTGCTCTGAGTGTGGTGTTTTGGATGCAGACTGGTACCGGTTGGGAGGGTGGGAGGAATTGAGATGAATTGAGCGCCTTTCACTCTATACATGGTTGTTCCCAGCGATCTTAAGAGTGCTAACCCCATGCGGTGCAGCTGCTTGGTCTGAGCCGAGGCCAGGACGATATTCAAGTTGAGTGTCTCCCTCTCAGCCTGTGCTTGGTGGTGCCGTTTGTGAAAACCGGAGCAGTGCCTAATCATCAAAGACACCGAACCCAATCCGAGTTCACTCTAGGTTATTTCGCTTGCCGTGGGTGTGGCGACTATGCCCCGGGCTGAACATGTTTCATCCGCATGCACGTTGCTTTGTGCTGCTGAGCTTGCTCTTTCCTGAAGCAGGACATTTGCATTGACTGCGCTGGGCGGCTCTCTCGGGGGCTGCAAGCTTTACCAGCCTCTAGCTTAGTGCTGTGAGAAGTTGGAGTGGTTGAAGAGCTTCAGTGGCTTCAGCTTCAACGCGCTTGGAGTTGATCATTTTGTCCACAAAGATCGCACGAGTGAGGCCTTCAGCCCACCATCGAGATCAGTTGATTCTCCATCGGGACGCTCGACTGCACCATTAGGATCCATTAGGAGAACGCTCCTGCACGAACGGTTTGGTGGATGGTGGTGCCAGGGTGGTGGACTGAGGCTTCTCGGATGACTCAGACGTGAAAGAAGCATCCCTTGAGCCAGATGACCTGAGCCAGTCTCAGCCTAAAGACGAAGTGGAGGTCCAGCGAGATCTTCCAATTTAGCGTCGCTCTGCACCGCTGGGAGCATCTTTTCAGCGAAGTGACGTGCATCTTTCGAGCGACACGGCCGCGGAGCGGTGGCAAAATGGAGGGAGAGCTGCTCTGAGGGCGTCTGGTCATAGCACAAAGATTGAAATATCTTGAAATGGTCCTGTGAGTCATGTGGGTGTGTTTTCAGAGAGACCTCCCAAAGACCCCCTGGAAGAATTACTCACACCCATGTAGACTCAGCTTGATTCTCAGCATGCCGAGCCATTGCGTGACCGGTGACGGGTGAAGAGGGCATTTTCCCTCAAGACCTTACTACCTTACCAGTCCATGGGTCTATGTTCGCAATACCTTTGCGTCTTCTACTCAGATATACTTGCACGGCTGACTGCAACAGTGACATCTATACAATATGTGTTTTCACACTTTGTTTTTTTCCATATTCCCGCTTTGCCACAGGCCTCATGTGGCTCTTCTCCATTCTCACATTGGTAGCTTCTGAGATTTGCTGCTGGCTTTGATAGATGCTTTTTGTTCACCTTTTCTGTGATTGAATGGTCTTGATGGAGCCACGTCTTCTGTTTGATTGTGTGTTCCCCTTTTTTGGGAGACTTGTTCAGCCCAAAAGGTCCTGCTTGCCAAGGCGCGAATCATGAGACGGAGTTTGCCACCAATTCCACGACCTTAATCCAGCATTTGAACCCCTCAGTAAGTCGAAATGGATCAATTAGGAGCTCCCTGGAGAACGTGACAAAGGAGGTCAACGAGACCGTGGCTGAAGCGCCTGAAGAAATTGCAAAAAGCATGGAGTGGAAGCAGCGCTTCGCACGCCTGCAGGGTGGAGAAGGAGGAGGTGGATCAATTGCACTTGTCACAGAAGCGGCTCTGTCGGGTTTGGCCTCGAACCTCTTCGTTTGTAGCGCTTGTGTTGGCCTCTTTAGTTTTCTTCGTGGCCGCTACCCTTTGGTCCGAAGCCTAGTTGTCTCAGCAGCCTCCACATGATCACCAGTATCACCTGTGATTCGTGTGACCCTTTTTCAGACAGGCCATTTTTTAGGGACTTATATAACCATCGCAGGTCTTCTTCGGGAACATGGCAGATGGTACCATGGACTCTGATCAGCGAAGAAATTGGATCTCATCCTCCTTGGCGTTGGATTTGGAGAAGATCACTGCCGTCATGGGCCTAGATGCATCTTTGGCCATCGAATATGCCAGCTTTGGGGCTCGGCTCATGATGATCATCGGGCTTCTTGGCAGCTACAAGTTGCAAGGTGCCTTTTCTTGATTCTCACGTAGTTTCTGGAGAAGAAGCTAATCCTACTTTTAAGTTGTGGAAAGGTTCCTTTCGTCATGGGCCTTCATGATCAGCTTTCGACACCCAGCATGCGAGGTTGCCGTTTCTTTTCCTCTTCAGCCCCTTGCACCGCTGGTATGGCGGTGGTGGACTTGAAGAAAAGGATTTCCTCTCAAGCATTTCGGTGTCCAACGTGTCCATGGGCCACCCTTGGTTGTATCACCTTCATGCACTGGCGGTGCTATGGACAGTCCTAGCCGTAAGGGCCATGGTTTTTCGAGCTCAACAGACATTTATGGCAAAGCGCCATGCTTGGCTGACAAGCTTGCCCTCTCTGAGGGCAAATACAGTGCTCGTAGAGGACATTCCTGCTAGCTTTCAATGCCAAGAGAAGGTGCTAACGTTCTTTAGCGAGAATGTGGGCCCGGTGGCCCACGTTGGCATGGTGAGGCATACGGAGAAGCTTGAAGCGGCCATCGAGGCACGAAACTCTACTAAAGCAAAGCTGGAGGAGGTCCGGAAGGAAGTTGAGTTTCGAGAGCTGCAGGGCAGTCCAGACATGGATGCCAAGATGGATAAGATAAATCTTTTGTCCCAAGAGCTGACAGAGCTTGAGTCTCAAGTCAAGGCAGAACGAGAGCACATCAAGGGTCAGTCTGCACAAGCAGGTGGAGTGAACTCGCATTCGGCTTTTGTAACTTTCCATTGTCGCAAAGATGCCGAAATGGCGAAGGTCCTTGAATTGAGTGGGAATGCTGACTGGGCAGTGCACGATGCCCCCGAAGCTTCGGAGATTCGTTGGCACGACTTGTTGCAAGACTACAGTGTTGCTCGCTCGGCCATTGGTTGCTTCCTCATTTTCTTGCTGTTCGCCAACTTCTCGCCCATTTGTTTGTTGATATCATCCGCAGCTTCTGAAGTGAACGTGGGCAAGCTGCAACCCATTTGGGATGCCTTGGCTCCGACTCTTGGGTTGACAATCTTCTTGTCGATGCTGCCCACTGCCCCCCCGCCACAAACTTGGTTTATGTTCGTTCTTTTCCTTGCTATTGGTTGTCACGATTAGATGATTAGACTATTAGACGAAAACATCAAAAAATTAAAACACACCAGGTCTTGTTGCTGATCTTCGGAAGCTTCTTCAAACTGCGAGCAGAGTCTCTGGCGCAACACCGTCTTCAAACATGGTATTTCCTGTTTCAAGCCGTCTTTATTCTCTTTTTGCCGGTGGTTGGGACGAATTTCCGCAGCTTTGCCAAGCAGCTTCTTGCAGATGACAGTTTGTCTACAATCCTTGCACAAATCGCCGACAGGCAGCTTGCCATGCAGTCAGACCATCCATTTCTTGGCATGTTGATGCTGATATCTTCATTTTTGCTATCCTTCCCCTGCTCCAAGGATACCATTGTCAGGCGATTTCTTCTTCAACTTTATTGTTCTGCAGTGGTCGGTGTCCTGTGCTGGCCTCAGACTTGAATTGTATATTGAAAGCAGAGGACGTTCGAATTTTGCATACCTGTTGGTTGACTTTTGATTCTTTCCGCTTGTACCCATGGCCTATCACATCCACGGGGCTCCCGGTTTGCTGTCGGCGTATGGAGGGATATAGCATTTAGCAGCCAAGAGCTTCGTGACGGTGACCCCTACGTTGACTTACTGTAACGTCCCCTTGCACGAAGGGAAGAGAGCCATAAGAACACGTGTCCATTTAGGCCGTATGGACTGGCGTGTAGCCGTGATGTTGTGAGTTTTTTGTGCCCTGGTCCTTTGTAACCTAGCTGAGCACAGTAGATAGCTTGAAGCATACCATATACGCATGACTACGCATGATGATATTCCGCCGGCACATTCATTGCGGACGGATTTTGTTGGAGATTAGCCAAGCTTGCCCAAACAACTCAAGCCATGTGAGCTTCCTATTTAGAAGCTTGTGGTCCACTCCCAAAGGCAAGGTTGGAGTTGTGGTTAATGTTGGGTCACAGATGGGTGACTATAGGTCCAGCACACCTTCAGATGCTCCACTGGCGTTGTTTGTTTGGCCCCTTTGTTCTGAATCTTCACATTGACATGGACTTGCCCTCAGATCCAGAATGCACGTGATGTGCCGTCATGCGATACACCATGCCATGGCATGGCTTGCCTTTCACCTGGTTGTGAGAATGCTGGTAGCATATGAGGGAAGATGCATTCGCACACCCATGGCCCCATCGTGCGGGCTGATCACATGCATGTGACCCGGTGTTCAACAAAACAGATCCCAGTGCTTCGTCTCTTTAGGGTCCCTCAGGCATGGAGCTGCTGCGAATGGTGGTCCTTGCCAAGTTTCTGCTGTTCAGGAGTCGAATCACAACAAGTCTTTGTGACCTGATGGCGAACCCATGCCTTCTGAACGTGGCGTAGAGATGCAGAGAGGTTAAGATGCAAAACTGGTCTCCACTTGGTTTTGAGATGGAAGGACCACCTATACAGAGGCTGAAGCTCGGCAAAAGGCAGAGCCGGAAGATCAGGAGAAAGCAACGTCGAACGCAAAAGAATGTTCTAACTATATTAGACCGTTCTTCCTTTTCTTGTTTCTTTGTTTCTAATAGTGATGGCCTTCTACCTACTAGCGATGGCATTCAACCTAGCAGCGGTGACATCCAACCTAATAGCAAACTATATGACTGTAGACTTTTCGAACTCAAAAGACTGTTCTACCGCATCCGTCGCTCAATGAAGGACTTCTATGGGATGGGGGGGCAGAACCGCTCGATGGAGTCTCAACCTGGTCATTGGCCGCTTTGCTCTCAAGGATGTTGGGTTTTGAGGAGATTGAAGTGTCTCGAGCAACTGTAGCAACGGTGTTGGTTCTTGCGCCGGCCAGTGCTAAGGATGCATCTTTTGCAGTATTGATCTCAGCTTTGCTTCATGGCATGAAATTGATCGATGTTCGTGAGACCCAGGTGTATGGCCGATGGTTCCGCTGGTTGTTCTTCTCCAGTTTTTGATGCAGCGGCTCGCATATGGATATTTGATTGAGCCGGCCTCAACATAGACCAACTCAGGGATGCGCGTGCCACCTGCTGCAACATCATTGTCAAACCTGCCGAGGCATTTGCTGAGACGCGGAAGCCTGATTTGGGAGGAGAGTTTTGGTGCGAGAGTTTGCTACAGCTGTTGCAACTCGGTCCCAGACAGACGCTTATTGAGACCAAAGACTATGGAAATGCAGCCCATGCTTTGTGAATGGGACTGTTCAGAACGTTTAGGTACTGTATGGCCGCTTGCTTGCAGCCAGTTGACCACGGTTGCAACTTGTGGTGGGAATCAGATGCATTTCTTGGCCTGAACCTGCCGCTTTGAGGTCTTGTTTGCAGCCAGTGGCTAAGAGCGGGGGTGAAGGTCATAAGATGCTAGAAGATAAGCATAGGAGGATGGGGTGAGTTGTGGTCGAAACTTCGATGCAGTTGGAAAGTACATACACAGATGATTACAGATGTAAACCTATGTAAAGCTCAGGCCTCCGTTGATTCCTGCTTACTGCTTTCTGCTTCGATGTGCGTTGCGTGCATCTTCTTGGACACTCAGGTCGGGATGAGCGGCCTGCTCCTTCGGCGCTCCCCAAGTTGTATCCCTCCTGCGGTGGCCTTCGTCGGCGTGCCAATTGCAGCAACTCGACCCCACCAGGGGCTCCTGGCCTACTCCTGGGAACAAGAAGCTACTTCTGAGGGCTCCTGGCATCGCTACCAGGAGCAAGGACGCTATTAGTGTAGTGTGGTGTGCCACTGGGGCTTTGCGTCAGTGATGCGCTTCGATCATTTTCGATCATTTGGCCATTGGACGTTGACAAGGTGGCCTCCATTTTGCAGTTCAAAGATCGATTTCGGTGGAGGACCTTGTCAATTCCAGAGGCCTGTCTTTCAGACAGTTCCAAAACATGTTTGTTTAATTTTTTTCTCTACAGGTGGTCAAGATGGACCATCCCCTACCTACAAAGGACACCAACTCAGCTTACATCAATTTGGTCAGCTTGCCTAATGTAGCAGAAGCAAAGTGAAGCGCTTATAACGACGCATGTATACGCATGCAGTTTGCAGGGAGCTAAGACGAAATTGGACTCAACCATCTACGAGCAACCAGCCCTGACGGAAGATTGAGGGCTAATTGGGACAGTGACTTGCACAAGTGCATTTGCAGTTTGGAAAAATGGTGCCTATGAACATCAAAGATCTTTTGAACGTGTGGATAGAGAGTTGAGTCCCATTGTGTACGATGGGATCGCGGGGGGGGGGCAGGGCAGCCGCAAAACAATTTGGAATCGTGTAATGAGTTGCTCGAAAGGTAAAGTGAGAGGTCCATGACAAATATGGATGAATATTGTAACTCCAGAACTGTCAATCAGCAAGTGGAGACGCAGTTTAATTTAGTTTGTGATGTTCAAGGTTTCTTTTAGCACTTGGAACACACACTTTGAACGTTTTCGTTCCCGCATGCTGAGCCATGGCAACAAAAGATCAGATTGGTGAAAAGGACAATGATAAGGCACGTGATTGGGATTGATTTGCTGAGTGGCAACCCTACTTGCCATGCCTTGTAGGTTGTAGACGGTATTGAGGAGGACAAGGCAGGAACTGTTGTCAATGGTGTCGCTTGAATTTCATTCTGGAATGAACAGAGTTGCTCTCTCAGGAGGCTAGTGTACAGACGGCATACTCTTCGAGAGCAGAAAAGATGCGGCAAATCAGGAACCAGCAGCAACTTGGATGAACTATTCAGTATATTTAATTCAGCCTGGAATGCACATCAATGTCATTCGTCAGCAACAGCCTTTGCAGGCAAGCGTTGGACCAGGCACAGTCACAGTTTGCCTTCGGTGATAGGACAAAAAAAACAAATCCCAAATCATGTTCACAGCAAGTGGAGTCATTGACCTCAAGTTGGGCGAATCATTTGGGGTGTTTGGATTTCTCGGATGTTGATTTCCATCGCGTGATCAGGACAAAACACCACCCGGCCTAATGCCTGCTGGAAGACCCCCGCGTGCGCAGGCAAGCATATTATTTCAATTTTCATGAATTGTTGGATTGCAAACGCGCGGTTTATGATTTTACACTCTCTTGAAAGCAGTGTGTTGTTTCTATGAGCCGTTATGTCGCAAGGTGCAATTCATGTGCAATAGTTTAGGCCGTCAAGTTCTTCAGTGCAATGTTGAACAAGAACGCTCCAAGTTTCATAACTGCACGTGATAGTTTTTGAGCAAGTGAAACATTGCATTGACAAATCAAGCTACTAGAAACAAGTGCCTTACTAGTAGTAACAAGAAGCATTGACAAATCACACCCTTCGAGCTTGCGCCCGGAAATGGGTTGCGGTGGCACCAAGAGCGCAGAAGGACGAAGGGCACACCTGCTGAGAGGGCACGGCATGGCTAGGGGGATGTGTTTTTCCCATGCGATGCCTATGCTGCGTAGGGCAAAAGGGTCATTGTTTGATCACCGTGTTTAGTGTGAAAGTACATGAAAGTACCATAGGCTATTGACACCCAAATCCGGTGGTGCTGGAAGAGAAGCGAGGTCTTTTACTGGGCAATGCTGTCAGGAGCGGAATCTCCAGGGATGCCCCCGGGGCCAGTGGAAGCAAAGCCGCCTGCAAAACCAACGCCAGCTGCAGATGGGGCACAAGGCCAGTGGCATCGTTTTTCACCTTAACTACTCCTTGCCACTGGCTACAACAATGCTTGCGCAAGCACTACTCCTTCCTACCAGGGAAGTTTGGTGTACTGTGTGAAAGTTTTTCCTTTCACATCCAGGAAGTTTCTTTCGCACAGGCTTGCAATCGGACGATCCTGAGGCTGGAGGTTTTCGGGCGCAGCAACCAGTCAAAAAGACCGAATGCATGGGTATAGAAGAAGCTGATGTGCTATGAATCGCTGTGAAGTGTTCATGATGTTTTGCTTGAAGGTGTTGAGACAAGCACTCTCCAATGCCTTATCTCGTGGGCAGCGAGGTCCTGAAATCACGGGTGCCAGCCTGAGGCCACACCGCTGATTCTCATGCAATGCACGTGATGAGATGTCATCTAAGATGCTGAAGCACGCTTGCGAGCAAAGCTCCAAATTCCTGCAGACTGGGACAGGGATTTGGATGAAGCCATCACACATAGTGAAACGGTGAGAACTAAACCTTCTTGACAAGAGGGCCTACCGTTAGCCTCATTTCACTGGTCCGGCTTGCTTCAGCCTACCGTTAGCCTGGATCCCGGAAACACTCGGGTTTCCGAAGTACCGGGAAGGATCTGACCCTTTCAAGCCTAATTAAATTTAAGTCTAATAGCTTCTTGTTACTACTAGTAAGGCACCTGTTACTACTAGCGTGGCACTTGTTACTAGTAGCTTCTTGTTACAAGTAAGCAAGGCACTATTTTTGGTGTGAGCAGTTCCACCGGAGAAGGTTCTGAAGTTGCGGCATTGCGAGGACTTAAAGACATTCTGTGCTGGAAGGAGACTTGAAGGCAGGGTCTTGAAATGCAAGTATCAATATGCAAACAAATGAAGTGGATGTTGAATTGGCTAATTGAAAACAACTTCCAGACATTTGGCCTTATCTTTTTGGAGTTGTTCCTTCGTTGCACGCAAAGTCACCCTCACAATTTGTGTCAAGGTGGGCTTGGTGGAAGGAAGGCTGGCCAAGAAATGGGTTTCTTGTGAATCACATCTCTACAGTCGACTGGTGAGTTGTTTCTTGCGATGTGGGGAGTGTTGCTTTGAGATGGCTACAGGTATGCTAGGGACATCAGGTGGCATGTTAACTTGTGAGGCGTCCACTGTGGTGGCCTTCCAGCCACAGCCTCCACAGGCTGGTGATGACTGTGCTTCCAAAATATGTTCAGCTCCCTGCCTTTGCTTGACCACTTCGTCCTGCCTTCGCTTCTACAAGGTGGTCAAAGCGATGCAATCCGTGCTTGATGGAACTTATCGTAAAGCGAGAGCCCCAGCTGATGCGCATAAAGTAGAGCCAAAGTGAGAGCCCTCTTAAAGATCTTAAAGTTTGTTGATAAGATGATAAGTGCTGTTGATATTGTTTTACGTACTTGTCCACCTTGGGAGTGTGTTGGGACTGGTTTCACGGTATCCCACAAGTTTCAGATGTTTCAGTGAAGCTTCGATGTTCGTTGAGGTCTACACCCGGGACCGACGTGGAGCACCCATACCTGACCGCTTCACGGTGAAAGAGGTACGATGGGACGACTCTTAGTAGAAGAACAAAAGGCCTTGGTAAGATTTGTGACAAAACGCTGAAATATACTAGCTTCTTGCTACTAGTAGTAAGGCCAGGAGCTCTAGTAGCGTCCTTGCTCCTAGTAGCGATGCCCTTTGTTGCTAGTAGCGTCCTTGTTAGTAGCAATGGCCTCCAATGGACAAGAGGGGGCCCGCTAGGTTCACCGCGTTCTCAATGACCAGGCCCACAACCCAGCGAAAGCCCAGCGTTGGTGGAAAAACTGCAAGACTGCTTTCGTGTTTCTTTTTTCCTTGCGTGATGAAGTCCTTCTTTCTCACATTGAGGTCTGGAGAGATCCTTGTTTGCACTTGATCAATCTTTGCAAGAAGGGCTCACTTGTCAATTTGCTTCGCTTAGGAGTATGAGTCGCAGCGGGATGCTGTGCGAAAGGCATGTGCTGCTCAGCAAGCGGAGTTGCCAGATGGATCTCACACAGTGAACCACTTGAAACAGACTCAAGCTCAGACTTGGATCAAGAAAGTTATTGCAATTGGTTCACTTCATTGCAAGTCAGCCTTCCTTCCTCTTCAGATATTCCTGTCGTGATCCTGTCCTCCAAGGAGCGGCGGCCTTGCTGCTTTGCCGCCGTTGGATGAAGCATTGGCCCCAATCTGGCGACTTTCGGATAATCAGGAAAAGCTCATGGGCTTGGATCCAAATTATTCCTTTGTCCTGCCCTGTTATATAGGGGAATTCGTGTGCACCAGCACTCTGTTTGAAAGGATTGAAACGGGATAGCTCATGTGTTTGGAGACTCTGGAGTTACTGCTGACACAGTGGATCATGCTATAGTGATATCATCTACAACATATTACAGCTTCTTCTACTAAAAAGTATATAGTATATAGTTATACGTACTAGTTGTCAATACATCGTGATGCCCCCTGAAGACCTTTCTTTGCCGGTTTGGTCCTCGAACTTGCACCCCAGGCTGCCAATGAGCACTGGCTCTTTCACGGCACCACAGCAGCCGCCGCGACCGGCATTGCCGAGAATGACTTCCGACGCTCGGCCGAAGAAATGAAGAATGTGAGTCCCTAGTAGCGTCCTTTGCTCCTAGTAGCGATGCCCTTTGCTCCTGGTAGCGTTCTTGTTACTACTAGTCAGGCCAGGAGCACCTAGTAGCGTCCTTGTGCACAGCTGGCCAGTTGGCTGGCCAGTTCTGGTGGAGTTTCCTGCAGCAAAGCTCGGCACGAGTTTGGCGCAGAAGGTGACGAAAGGGACGATCCAAGGCCTGGACATGTCTGGTTCAAATGCTGGCACTCTCTATGGCAAAGGCGCATGTGTTGCAATCTTGGGATACCATCAGGATCCGAAGGGGCGTGTGTGTGTGTGTGTGTGTGTTTCAAGAATGATGATCAGATTCGTCTCTGTGGTGGTGTTGATAAAACAGTCCAATTGTATAGTAACAGTAGAATCATAAGACCAACAGAGCGCTTTAGATTTAGATATTGTTTAAGGAGACCGAAAATCAAAGAGGCCTAGATCAGAAAGAATCTCAAGCGCAGTTTCCCCAGAGATTTCCGAGACTGGAGAGTGAGAGACAGGCATTTACCTGGCCGAGAATGCCACGAAGTCTGGCTCCCGGGCATGGCTCATAGTAGCGTTCATGCTCCTTGTAGCGATTCCCTTTGTTCCTAGTAGCTTCTTGTTCCTAGTAGCTTCTTGTTCCTAGTAGTAATGCCAGGATCTACTAGTAGTGTTCTTGCTCCTAGTATGCGGGTGGACCGATTTGCACGTCATTTCGAAATGGGCGTGTGGAAGGCCTCAAAGAGCGAACCAAAATGCCTTGAGCCAGGGGGGTCTCCCTATTCTAATACGTTGTTCACTTGGAATGCTGTTTGTTGCTTCCTGATTCCTGATATATACAGTACTTGTCATTATACATAAGTGTGTATGTCAGTATACATATATATATATATATATATCATGAAAAGACATGCTGAAGGACATGAAATCCTTGGCGTGATCACAACCTCTGGGTTTTTCACATCATCATGTTAGAGATACAAGTGATATATACCTTATTTTACGGGGACTTCGCTTAGATGATCCAGTCTGAAAAACACCTCTCAGGTCAGATGAATACGGTGAAGGGCCCAAGGGCCCAGCCTCCACCGGTGAGGAAGCAGAAATGGGTTTCGAGGCACAGCCCTGAGGAGGTTTGGGCAGTCAGGGCTGAGGAAGATCTATTCAAAAAAAGATTGTGGTTTTATTGTCATCCAACTTTCGAAAAAATAATAGATAAATACATAGATATAGATATAACGCTGAGTTCTTGATGCGCCGATATGCTGCTTGATTTCTTTTGATGTCTTCTTGTTTTGGCATCAGGGCTACCTCTTCCCTTTGCATCTTGGGCTTGTCTCTGCTTGTCTTGCGCTGATGAGGCGCCTCGGCCACCTCCTGGCCCTCCTCCACCTTTAGTTCGGGAGCAACTTGGTGCAATGGTTCCGACGAAAGAGGATTTCTATCGATTCTTGGTGTTTGAAGCAACCACAGAGGCAACAGTTTCTTGGTATTTGTCATCTACCAAGCAAACATCACATGTATGGGCGCAGACATTGGGAAGCTCGCCAACCTACCGGATTGCAACATGTCCGTGCTTTGGAGAATGAAGCACCTGAATCCTTCATAATCGTTCCACTCCGCATACGGAAAGCTATTAGTAACAAGTGCATCGCTTCTAGTAACAAGTGCCTTACTAGGAACATGTGTTTTTGCACCAAAGATGCGCACCAAGGTCCTACATCTTGGTCTGCCGTTCTGCGCCTCTTGACTGCACCAGGGTGAACAAAAGGCATCCCAACAGCTCTGCATTTGCTCTACCGGTTTGACCATGTGCTCAAGCAGAACCGCTTTGACAAGGCTTGGCAGGGTCAACTACAATGATGAACAGCGTCCAGATCCAGACAGGCTTGCGGGCTTGCTAGTTGGCGACCATTATCGTTTTTGTCCTTCTCTCTCCTAATTTGCCAAAGACCAAAAGCCGAACAGCTCGCCAGAATCCACATGAATCCACTGCCTGGCCAGGCTACAAAAGAGCTGCCTCTCGGGTGAATTTGACAGTGTCCTGGGTGACAGGCAGAGCCCGGGCGGTGGAACGGCTGCACACGCACAACCACACGCACTGTGCTGACGACCACGCGTTTACAATGACGACCAGACGACCACGTGAGATGATCGTCTAACGTTTCGTGAGGCTGAAGTTGAACCGGACCTTTCGTGAGATTATCGTCTACAATGATGACCACGTTTACCCCGAGTACATCGTCAAGGCAGGCCTAGCCGCCAAGGGAGAAGCTGCCAACAAATCACTTGCTTCGGCATCATGTGTCGTGACCAGTACGAGCGCATCTTCTTCCACGAAAGATTTGCCGCTGTCTACAAGGCTGGTCAGAAGAAAGCAGTTTGCAGATGACCAGCATTGACCAGCCGAGTATGCAGCTCCAAGAGACTCATCAAACTCGAACCTGCGTTTGTATGACCAATGAAAGACCTTCCAACACAACCAGATACCAGCTAAATCCAACTATATAACCTTCCGATGTGTTTTTCTTTAAACTCTATTCAATTTGTTTCACCGACCCTGCCGAAATCAAGGGAGAGCTGAGAGAGGGAGACAAGACAAGTGAGGAACCCTTCAACGCGCATCGCTACTAGTAACAAGGTGCATCGCTACTAGTAGCAAGGGCGCTACTAGTAGCTCCTGGCATTACTACTAGTAGCAAGAAGCCACTAGGGTGGAGGCCATCGCTACTAGTAACAAGAAGCTACGAACGTAGCAAGTGCATCCGGGGCTCAGCAGCCGAGAGGCGATGTTGGATCGCAGTCTTGCGGGTCGATTCAGTGGCCCAACCAAAGAGGAGGGCGTTCGGGCAGTCGAGACGGGCATATCGGAGCCAACAGAAGAGCAGCGTGGGTAGCGGTGTGGTATCACATTCAGTTTGTTGGTCTAGGACCTAAAGGATGTGGTTTCTAATGCAAAGAGGTTGGAATCCAGGAAGAGGACAAGCTCCGACATGGAGCTACTTTGACCAAACCCCTGGAGTGGCTGCTCGTTTTCTGTGGTGTTGGCAGATACTGCATTGGAAGGGCATAAGAAAGCTGATTCTCAAGTCTCAAGTCGGTGTTTCCTTGCAAGGAGACCGAAGTGCTCCAATCAATGTGGCAAGTGCAACTTGACAAGGATTAATTAAGTTTGATTAATTAGCATAGCAGCTGAACAAAAAAGTCGCTGTTCTCTCATGGCAAATATGAACACCTTTTTATGATCCTGTATGCCTTTGGCACCAAGGTATTCGATGCCAAACAAAGGCTGCGCTTGTGCATTTTGCTGAATGAAAGTTAATGATAGAGTATGATAGAGTAATGAAGGGATTCGATGCCAAATAATCGCTGCGCTTGCGCATTTTGCTGAATGAAAGTAATGATAGAGTAATGTCAAACACATAGTGATTGCGTGTGGAAAACCCCTTTGACAATTGTCGAAACAGAGGCAAGATTTCGAAGTCACAATTGCTGGATTTGCTGCTTGCAATCTACCAGCCACCTGTCACTTGGCAGTGTTTCATTTCAAGCTTCCATTTAGGCATGTGCTTGATTTGTGAATTCATTTGGCAAGCATGCAATGCGCTGATCTACGTCCAAACTGATTGCAAAGTCCAAAGGACAATGAAGGAGAAGATCTCGATGCAACCTTCAAGGACCAAGAATCCCATCCTCCTTTTGCACTGACCGTCCTCGGTCAACCGAGAGCAAGGCTTTGCTCTTTACAGGAGTGGGACCGAAAAGGCAATGGCAAGATTGATTGGGACGATTTCTTAGCAGAGGCTCAGGGACTCACCATCCCTTTGACGTGTTTACCACGGCATGGCATGCTCATCGCACCTGGCAGGTGACCCAGCGAGTCCGTGACAAGATCTCCTGTTCAGGTAGGGCAGATGGAGAGGGAAGGTGTTTCGTTCGGGGAGGACCTGCAAACGACAAAATCAGTTCTCGTTGAGAGATTTCTTTGACAGGTCCGGAACGCTTTGCTGAGATCTACAGGCATTTAGCGAGTGTGGAAAGTTGTGACTGTTTGCATGAATAAATGAAATCAAGAGAATCCCATTCTTCCAGGGGAATGCTTGACCGGAAACGTTCCGGGCGCTTTGACGGCCGCCAACCCAGTTCACCAGTCTTGCTGTGAGCCAACTTTCGAATCCGCCTGGCGACTGAGGGCCTGATGTTGGAGAGAGGGCTGTGCTGAGAATGGTGTGGTACCAATACTGCCTCTTGCCTAAGTCCACAGAGTTCCCGGCATTTGGCGAGAGGAAGCGGGTCTTCTGAGTTAAAGGGCAAGGTTTGCAGTATTGCATAACGAGCAACCTTGGGCACGTATCAATTTTGGTGTGTGAAACAGTGCCTGCAGGTCAAAACCAGAGGACCATTGACAAGCAGCAATTGCTTCTTTTGCTGAAGGTGGGAGTTGACCGGAAGTTGACCTGAATTGACAACTAACATGCAAATGTTGCGGGGGTCAGTTATCTCAGCCATTCTGTGCCAATCTCTTTGCATAGGCCATCAACCAGCCACCGGCCAACGAGCGTGATGATCTGGATGAGACCTTCAAGGAGACAATGATGGAAGGGTTTGGCATGTCATCCAACAGTTTCTTGAAGTGCTTTGGAAAGATGCAGCTGAAAATTTGTCATGATCAGCTCCCTTGCTTTACACAAGTTGTGAAGTGGACAAAAAAGATCAGAGAAGCAGTTTAGACTGTCGTGAGACTGGTTAGTGTTACCCTACTGATGAACTTGATGCTGCGACAGTAATCGAAGTCAGTACGAGATGAACACTTCGTTCAGATACTTGGTTACATGATGTGATATAATGTGGTTAGCTGAAAAGCTAACACCACGAAGCTATCAGCTATCATCTGTTGAATTACGACTGAACGCCTCTAATCTTTAGCTGGTGGGACTGGTGGGCCTTGCTTCACAGCTCAAAGCCAGGAGATTGACACCAAAAATGACGGAGTCATCGTGACCTGGATGTATTTATTTGTGTTTGTTCATCCTCATTGGACAGAAAGGACCTTACATTCCCTAGATCACTTGTATTGTGCGGACAGCTTGCTTTGTTGGTGCTGTGAGAACAAATTCTGCCAAGGATTTGGAGGAATTCATGGAGGAGCGTCCCAGGGCTGCGCTGCGTCCCATTTTCACTTGAGCACCTATCAAAACCTGTCCTTATCTAACTTAAAGGAGGCTAGATATACTTGTTTGAACATGCTAGTGTTGATAGCAAGGATGACCTCAAGAACGATAGGGTCAGGAACAAAAAACAATAACTATATAACTCTGATGCCTTATTTTTGTAGGAATATTCAGCATGGCAAACGATAACCAAAACGATACCATTCTGATCCGTATTTGAGCATTTTTTGGCCCACAAAGCCAGAGGTCCACACAAGGAAGAGAAAACATTGTATCACTTGTGGGACTCTGACAATCAATCAAAAGAAGAAGCGGCCTTCGTTTCGGGAGTGCTGATTCTCAAAATCAAGGGGAACCTTCAAAAACGATTGGGTCGGGAACAACAACCGATACCCCCTTGTAATGTCCTTTACCACATGTAAGAGGCCTGGCATCTTGTGGGTGTTGAGGAGATCACTCAGAGAGTGAAGGATGGTATTGAGGCATGAGTACAGCTCACGACCGTACAGGGCAGACCGACAGGGCAGACCTGAAGGGTCGGGTGGCCCCACCTAGCTCTTCATAGTGTGTGTGGCGCGCGTGGCGCGCAAAGCGCGCGTGGCGCGACACAACCTGGTTTCACCTGTGAGAAGATCAAAATGAGAGATATGTTTTGCATCATGCCAGGCTACTTGCTGGTTGGCTGGACATGACATTGGCTGTGTGACTGTGGTCAATGTTTTTTCTATGAACTCTTCAGGTCACCATTCCTGCCTCCATTGAGCCGTTGACATCTGAGCCCGAGTGCACTACTCAGTCGCTAATGTACCACTGTTGTTTGGTTCTCAATGGCAGTGGTCAGGCCAGAACGCTCAACCTGGGGAAGGCCAGTAGCACAGGGTCAGTTGAGTTCAGACTCCTTCATGTGCAAGGCTCCCTTTTGAAACATCCCAATTCCACCTTTGGGAAAGGTTCCTTTTCACAGTTGCTTGCTGCACATCTGCTGGAAGAAGAGATGGGTACGCCCGCCATGCTTCACGCGCTAAACTCTATATATATATACATATATTGACATATAGATTGTTTAATTACTATTGTGCCAGGTATCGATAATCAAATCATGAAATATGTTAAATTGATTGAAAGAAGAAAAAAAAAATATATATATATATTATCCTAATATTACGATAGGGCCTTACCTCGCGCATATACGCGTAATTTTTAGATATCGGAAATCCTAAAAGAATTGCCAAATTTGGGAACTTTCCACAATTTTGTATAATCTTCGCAAATACATATTTAATCTTTGATATCTAGCCTTTATATACGGAACCGAAATTACTTTATTATTTGGGAATTTTATAAAAATTGAGCTTTCTAAAAAAAGTATATATTTTTGGAATTTGTTACGATAATAAAAGGCCGTGTATTATTAGGCAATTCGCTTACGGTCTAGTTAGCGGATTCGATTTTCTTCGGGTCTATATATGTTTATTGTATTAGTTTATTAGTTAGAATTGTAGTTTTATTTTATTTTTTTTTGAGGTATTGTTTGTTTTCGATGTTTATTTTGAGTCTTTATTGTTTCGTTTCCGAATTTTATGTTATTTTTTTTTGGTAATTTGAGTTTCGAGGTTTAATGATTTTGGTAATGTTCGTTATGCTTCCGAATTTAGAATTATATTTATTTTTGTTATTGTTCCGTAACGAATGATTTTGGTAATGGGATAATATTTCGTTGAAGATGTATTTCGTGGATTGGAAATTTATTATATAGAGATTTATATAATTAGATTCGGCTTTTTTTGGCTTAGGAATATAGGTATATAAATTAGATTTGAATTTTTAATCGTGGTTTTAAATGTTGTTTTTTATTTAGGAATATGTTAGTTATATTTTATGATTTTTTGTTTAAGGCGAGTTGAAGCCATCTTACGAATTCTGTTGCATTATGTTGGTGCGCCTTAATATAAAATTTAAATTAAGGTATTAAAAGGCATTTAAGGCAGCAAGTAAGGGTTGTAAGCCATTGTATTATCGATCCTTGGATGAATAAATGGTGCAAAAATCGCATCCACACTCTAATTTGCAGCCAATTAAACGTGTTATTCATACAACATACTTAAAGTTTAGCTAGAGAAACGGAATTTAGGTAAAAATCATTGCTTAATGTCAATGTAGGAAGGTTATTGCTTGAACCAATGCAGATCTCTGAAGCATTGAGAATCGGAAACGAATTAAGATTAATTGAGTTAGACCGCTGCCCATCAGCTTCATCAGGGATTCGTGGAGTTCCTGAACCACCGGTCCTCTTAGTGAAATATCCAATCTCTATGGGATCACCATGGCCACATCTTTGGAGATTAGATCCTGAGGCATCGGCTTTAAAGCCGAGAATCGGTGAATTAACTCGCTCTGAGCTGCTAGCTTGTATCTTCTGGATTAAAATTGAGGCTTTTCGGAAGAGAGGGCATCCCGTGTAGCCGCCTTCAAGGTCTTGGCACTTGGATCCCATTGCATGTAATTCCAGCCATTGGTGGAGGTCAAAATCTGTTTCGTTTGCAATGCTTGGATCAATTCCTGATCGTTTAATGCGAATGACAGTTTCGCAACTCGATTGGCCAACTCCTCGAAAACCGATTGGAACATATGCTGTCTCAAAGATTTCGTAATTGTGGCCTGATCCCTTCGTGATTGCCAATCCTTGGATAGCTGCAGCATCTGAGGAAGAATGGAGTCTTTTCCTGCCTGAACGAAGAAGATGAAGGTCTTGTCGAGGTGTAGTCGATTCAGTTGATCCTCCTATTTCAATGTCCATTTGATTGTTATGGTCCGAATCCGATGAGTGCGAGGGTTTCTTTTGACCTTTGCGGGTATGATGACGTGCGGATGGTTTGTCCTCCTCCTCCGTCTTGGGTCCCTTTCCAAATGAGCGCTACAGATTTCTATTAGATCTGCAAAAGATTGATCTTCTGCTTTCATGCACTCCATCTCGAATACCTAATGCACCCCATAAATAGAACTAGTCTTGGGCCAGTACATATTCAAATTAGCATGCATGCTGAATCCATGAGGTGGTATGAAATTCGATGGTCTCGAATCGGATTAGTTCTTGGTTAGTTGAGTGCCAAGCCTAGTAGTGCGGGCGCACCGTCTGATAGAAGTGTAGGAAACGAATGTGCGGAATGTCCTCAATATTAATTTGAGGCGAATCCGTGAAATTAATTATTTAAGGTGTAAAAGCATGGAATTAGCGCAATCGCATCTCTGACCAAAAAGGAATGGTAATCGATAACATGTTCTTAGGTGCGGAGATTGCGGGATAAATTAAGGTCGTGGTTACGTCTTGTGTTTATGGAGGGACGCTAACCGGGATTATAAGTTTAGGCATCACCAATCTATCTATTTCGTTTGTGGGGGACAATTGTCTAGTAGCCGTGGCCTCTGAGATCTCGATGTTTTTAAGTTATGTGGAGGGCCGGAGGATAGGGCCGAAGTATTGATTTTTGATCGATTTATATAACTAATGGGATAGGATAATTGGTTCTTCGATTTGGTTGGAAAGCAAAAAAGGCTAATTATTTATATTATATGTCCGTCTAAAAAATGTCTTGCTAATTCTTTACGATTAATTTGGTTAAGATAAAACGGATATTGAAAGATTTTGATTGGATTTGATATAATTTATTGAGGCTTGTTTAACATTGTCGGCACCGTGTTAAATTTGGATTGTGGAGGTTCGAATAATTTGTTTACTTGAGGTCTGTGCGTGGCTATGAATCGGCATGTATTTTTCTTATCTAATAACGATTCGAAATTTGAGGAAATAATGCGGATAGGCATATATACAGGTGCAGGATTTAGTACGATTGGCATGTTCTTTGGTATCGGTTTAGTCTTCGATATATGAAGTGGTTTATCCATAGAATTTCCCGTTTGGAGCAGGAAATAAGATTGTGTAGTATTGCATCGCATTTGAATGGGAGGTTTTTATTATGATTTGCATGATGGGGAATTATTTAAATGTAATTTAAAATATATTTATATATTTATGAATATAAATATTCCGATATTTAGTATTATGGACGTTGTAACGATTACGGCCATTAGTAAGATTGACCATATTATAAATATATTTACAAAAATATCAAATAAATAGAATATATTAATGATTACAATCATTAATGTGGAACGAATAATATTTTGATAAGGTATAAAGGATTTAATATTACGATATTTTAGAAATTAGGTATTTAACAAATATATTCTTTGATTAATTTAATATAATTTAAATATCGAATATTAAAAAATTAATGCAAATTTAATACTAAATATATATAGATAACCTGAAAAAATGGGGGAATGAAAGCGAATAGTTATTAAACGAAAGCGTTATTTGTTGCATAGTAATAGGTTCGGGACAAGGTTGTGGAATAGGTCTATGACCAAGTTCCGGAGCAGGTTCTAATGTAGACAAGGCTCTAGAGGAGGACTTGGATAGCGAAGAAATTGTTTTAATTGCATTTCTTGTTATTAGTAATTTTCTTTGGGTTTATGCCATTAATCCGCAAAAAAAAAAAATTATATGTCGCAATTATACCCTCTTCCCAGAGGTATAGAAATACAGAATCATAAAAAATAAAGATATCAAATATAAAGAAATTACTATCTATAGGAAATCCTTTTCTAATAATAATTTATCGTTACCAACCAATGATTATATTTGCCCCAATCCATCCAAGGAAATGATTAGGAGGATGACAGGAATTATATATTTCAATATTGCAATTATTATTAGTGTTACCAATCATTATCCAAAAATATAATATAAATTTATATGTTTAAGCAGCAAATTCTTCACGCCACCAAATTGTTATTTATATGGGTCCCTATTTTAATAATAATTTATCATTATCAACCAAAAACCCATATTTGCACCAATACATACAACCAATATCTATCCATTTACCTATTTATTTATTTATAATTTATCAATTTATTTATTCCTACGCGATTAAACCGGAACAACGTTCGATGCACGTAGACGCCACGAAAAATATTCGTTCGACATTACAAATATAGTAAAATTAAGATAATTATTTTATATATAGATACCTATTTCCATTCCAATATTTAATATCCACTACCCAATAATCTCCATAATCTTCCTAATATTAATAATATATTATTCGATATCCATTACATCATTCGTATCTATCACCAAATCCCCATTTTCATTGCTTTTCCAATCCTCATGTTTAATTGCTTTTTTTTTCAAATAAATTTCGAATTCATCCTTTCAATTATTTTTTTTTTTTCCCGACCTATTCTCCCCCATATTTCCTTTATTAATTTCGTTTATTTTAAAAATTCAAGCCTAATTTATCGAATTTTCGTTATATATATTTATAAATATATTATATATATTTTTTTTTTAAATATATATATTATATAATTTATCCTAATTCAGATTCTTACAAACATATATATATATATTAATAATAATTATTAAATAACAAGACGATATTAAAATCGAGACAAAATAAAAAATCAAATAACATAGTAAATTAAATATTTAAAAGAAGGGAGACACGAAAGGTAGGATAGCGAGAAGAGAAAAAAAACCGAGAAGCAAGAATAAAAATGCAATGTTCGATATGGTAATTTATCCCCTCGGAAGCGACCTTTCGTAAATCGTAAATATATGTTCATATGCATTCTAATTGTTCAAATATATGTTCTAGAAATATTCAAAAAGATTCTTAAGAAAACAAATTTGCCCCATGGATCAAATCATCGATAAGCATTAAATCGGAGCATCATAGGATTTAAACTATCCTAAAACCATAAAAGGCTCACGAAGACGCTCCCCAGGAGAGAATTAACGTGCTTCACAAAACAAACTCTAATATGTATCCCCTCGAGGAACATCTTTCGTAATTAGAATTTTATATGCATTCTTTCTAAATATTCAAGAGGGTTTCAATTATCCTAAAATCATGAGAGGCTCACGAAAACGATCTCCAAGAGAGAATTGATTTTAGAGGGGGGGAGGGGGGGGATCTGTTTTAAAAAATCATTTCCAAAGGGGCGGGGGGGGGGGGGGTCTGAATTGAGCGATCCGGACGTCCCAACACTTGTTTCGCAAGACAAATTCAAGGTATCCCCTAAAGGGCTACCTTTCGTGACATATAATGGCATGCAAAAACACGACTCGATAGACAACAACATAAAACGACATAGAATTTATGCATAAATTTATATATCATATAATATCAAATATTAAATAAAATATCTCTTTTAAAATAATATATATATATAATTTTATTTTGATAATTGATCTGTTCGGCGCCTTCGCTTCTTTGGCGGAGGTGGTGGTTGCTCCTGGGTTGATTGGATTGTGTTTCGCGTTATTTCTCCATATTTGAAGATTTTTTGTGGGTCCTCTTTAGGCTCTGGTGGAGCTTCCTTTGGCTGATCCAGCAATTCCACGTGCTTTGCCTGCACATTGCCATTGTCTGATCATGTGTCTCGCTTCAATGATTGGATGCACCTTTTCTTGCAGTAGTCTGAGCGTGTTGGTTGTTGGGTCACATCAGTCGATGTCGTGCTTTGTTTTAGATGTTCGAGCTCCATTTGCAACCTTCAAAACTACCGTTTGTGACTTGCCTAAGCAGCATAAAGTGGGTTCTTTTCTCATCCCAGTGCCCACTTCAAGAAATGCTATGCAACGATTTAGGATTCGTACCCTTGGCTTCTGCTTGTCGTCATACTCCACCTGGAATGAGACGGGCTCGCCATCTTTGAATTCCAGCCTGGCTAAGAAATTTGGCATCGAAAAAACTGTAGGTTATGTTGAAGCGTTGGAATCGAAATGATGTAGGACATTTCTGACAATTCCGCCTTCTTCTGAGCTTGTATAAATCAGGTTCGTGGCCAATCTCAGACTTGTGTAGGAAGATGTCCTTCGCTCAACAAGGATCGATTTTTCGGATCACTCATCCGTCATATCAAGAAGCCCCGAAGACCCATGCCATAATTCGTACCTTGTTGTAGATCGCCCTGGATTCTGCACAAACAATAAAGCCAAAACCGCCATCTGGATTCCAACTGCGCACGCTCCCTTTGAATCGCCTCAAGTCGAGTGCAGCTTCAAAACAGGGACTTCAAAGATTCCAAAGGCCTTGATGCCTTGCCTGTTTGGATCGTGAACCAAAGGTGGTCTGTGGGTGGCGGCCGCAACCTGCTCAATGCACAAAGCAAAGGAGAGCAATTTCTGAAGAAATCCAAGTGATGTATCTCACTTTCATTGACTCTCACTCGCAGTGTTGTATCTCCATCGCCCTCTCCAAGAAGTTGGATTATTGCAAAAAGGACCCTGTAGTCGGACATGCTTCTCGAAGGAAAGGAAGTACGGAGGGGGCAACCTCGAGCAGCGTGTCCGGCCACCCCACGCGCGACGTGAATGCCTCCAAGAATTCGCTTAAGTCAACACCTGCGGCTGCATAATGGGCCACCAACGCCTGGCTTTCATGGTCTCCTGGTCTGGCAGAAGACTGCACAACGGGGTGTGTTTCAAACTGCTGATGCCCCTTTTCAAAAAGAATGTGACCGTGGGAAATCTCAACTGTCGACCTGTTGGTTCGGTGAGGCCGACCACGACAAATCCGGCTGTCGAACCGCTCGCAATTTCAAGTCCTGCAGCTTGATACTGCTGCTGCAACTCAATGATTCTGGCGCACTGCTCCTGCGGGGAGGCTGCTCACACCATCAGTGCTCACCAGATTCTGTCGATTGGCCTGCAAGTTTTGAAGCGGAAAGGAATAACATCTGGGACCTGGAACTTGGCTCTTGATCAATCTATTCTGGATTCTGCCTCTCTGCCATGGCTGTGGGGCTAGTAGCGGCTAGTCTCTGTACAATTTACGTGGCTTGGCGCATGACACAATATCGAAAGTCACAAAAAATCCATTGGATACGTCTGTCCTTGCTGAAGCCAAAGCCCTCGCATGAGGCTCCTGTATGTCCTACAATACAACCACATTTACAGGATCTGCGGTCTGCGGGACATGAGTCATGATCTGCCGTCCTGCGCTTCCAAATGTAGCTCCAGTCATGATGGCGCCTGGCATCGCCTGTTGATCAACAAAAAGCTGTTTAAACAGGAAAGGCGAGGCAAGGCTGAACATCAGTCCCTTCCTGGACAACTTGCACCCCTTGAATGCCACCGGCCACGGCCAAAGGAGGGCTGGCAGACAAAGGAAGTGGCAGCCCTGACACCTTAAATGTGAAATCTACTCATGATTCAAGCTTAGGCCAGAATCGAAACCTCCCAAGTGTGGCGCAACATTACAATAGACAATACATCAATTGTAATTCCTTCTCTCGCACTTCAACAATTCCTTCCAAGCTGCTCCTGGAGCGGAAAACACCTGCCCTGTGCCTCAGCTGCTTGCATACCGCCCCCCCCCGTGAGGCTGAAACTGGCTGAGCGCCACAGCCGAGCTGCAGCGGTGCGTGTTGGTTTGTTATACAAGTGCAGAAATTGCGATGCAAGGCACCTTCTCCAGGCCTTACGTGCAAACGTATGAGGGTGCCGGGGCCCGGACTCACAGCAGGTGAAGCGACTTGAAAAGTCCTTAGCGAGGGCATGGGTCGGTGATGCATGGCCTGGCAAGTTGCACCCCAGCCTACTTGCATTCCAACAAACATGAATTCAAAAAGAATCACAACCAAAGTTTCGCCATGCGTGAGGTGTACAAATGCCGAGGCAAGGGCTGTGGCACTTGCAGGAACTGGACTTGCTGTGGCACGTTGAAGTTGGATTGGTAAGCTGGAAGGTGTGTAGCTGGCCCTTGAGGGGCAAACCTGTCATAAGGAGTTTGAAAACAACTATCGCTAGCTGAAGCTTCTACAAATCCTCGTGCATCCAGGTTGCGCAGGAGTTGGCACCGCCTGATAGTACACATTTGGCACCAATTGCGGGGCATGTGGTGGCCAGGTCGCCGCAGGTGGCGCTGGCGGAGGAGCGGGAAGAACTTGAGGAACTGGAGCAAGGACGGTGCCAACAGGGGCAGGGTGCACAGCCATCAGCGGACATCAGGTCTTTGTGCCAAACAGAACTTTATCGGTAAGCCTACTGGCTTGCAGCATTGCTGGTTCCCTCCCAGTTTGCAATTAACCCGAACTGAGAACCTGATCTTGGGGGAAATTCAGCATTATGCGTTCTTCTTCATGGGTCTCGCAGGGCATTGCACTTGCAAATCCACCAGAGGCCGCACTGCTTGAAGGTTATTATTTGTGTCTGATAAATTCTGTGTCATGTGCAGATCATGCCTGTGGGATCTATCGCTATGTCAGGAGGCTGCGGCTTGCACACATGTAAGTCTCTCCTCTCACTTATCTGGCACCAACTACGACACTCAACGACTGGCAACATGTGTAGGAAGGCATGTCCGGTATCCTTTCCTCCCCAGCACCACGACAGTGCTTTCGCTACTCACGCCGGGGCGATCGAGATCTCTCTCGACCTCAAGTGCCAACAGCGTTTTCAAACGAAACGAAACTCTTGGAAAAGAAATCTGCCAGGATGACACACTCACACTCCCATGAAATGTGGTCAATAGGCACTCCGAAGTGTTGCAAACTAACGGTTGGGGCTCCACCAAACCCCCAAGCCCAGGTATCGGTATCCATTCGTTCAATTCAAGGGGCTGTTGGCAGATGCATTTCGCAGCGCGCAAACGGCACGGAGCAAAGGCCATCGTGTTTTGCTTCGATCCTTCAAATCAGGGTTCTCCCGCTTCAGCCAGCACCTGGGGGAAGGGATGAGAGGGAGGGATGAGACAGGAGGCGTGGGCCAAAATCCAAGGCTCAAGAAAGCATTCAGTGATGCAGAATCCAAGTCTATCGAAACCGGGGAGCATCTCGTGCACGCCAAAGGAATTTGGCCCCGCTGCTGGCAGCAATTCCTTAGCAAACACACGTGCGGGAGTCAAAGGCTTGGCCACATTCAAAGGCAGCAGCAAAGGTGCTGAGTCTCTGTCGAGGCTGACTCCACTGCAGTCCAAGGGGAAAATCGCCACTGCTTGAGGCTTATTTCCCGATGCTTTCAATGCAACCAACTCTGGGGATTGCCTTTGCCAAATGATCCGAGCAAAGATTATGCAAAAAACGGCGACAAGCTAGAGAGCTCGATGACAACAGCTTTTGAGACAGCTTTTGAGGCCATTTTCAAAACCATCTGGGATCCCCGCCTGCCATCTCCATATTGATTTCGAAGACCCCGTTTAAGCAAGGCTATCGATTCTGGTGACAGGAAGCCTTGTGCCTCCTCAAAGCAACCAAAGTAAAAGCAAAGCGCTGCTCTGTCTGTCTTCAGTTGGTGTGGGTTCTACAGCCACCAAGGGAAATCCTCGTCCAGCTCTCGGATAGCGCATTCCAGCATGCTTTCTCCAGCTTCAACTTTTCCACCAAGGTCCTCGACCAAAGTTGTCAACGATGATCAGCTCTGGAGGGCTCTCATCAAACTTTCTGAGGATGAGGCGCTCCACAAGCACTCCTCTTGAGAATCTTTCTTCTCGCGAAGCACTAGGAGCTCATCATCTCCTAGAACGTGATGGCTGGGGGCGTGGCCTGGCCCTCAAACAAACTGAGGCAACCACTGAACAACATCAGCGCGGCACGCTTCACCTAACATTAATGGCGGGAGAAATGCCAAGGTCAAAGACACAACGAAATCTGAGCACTGCCTTCATATCATTGCTTTTATCTTTCTCGTTGCCTTGCCAGGGAAAATTGAATGCCCACTCTAGGAGATTGAACAAACTTGAAGAAATTGTTTCAACAAGAGAATGGTCCTTTCCACTTTGCGGTTGAAATGCCTGCGGCACTTTGTCTCTTTGCCACGTGTCGCGTGTCGCCTTTTACCACGACGGCATCTTCAGCCTGCTCATGAACAGACAACGTCGGTCACTCCCACTGCGTAAGATTTGCAAGAGCATACTACAAAGCAGGACTCATTTCAATAGTTTGCTTGAGCTTTAGTCAAGTTCCATCTTGTTCATTCAAGCGCAGGTTCAAGAGGTGCTTCGACTATATAGCTTGTTTGCTCTGAATGGCTGGAGGTTCTGCTATCGATTTCCAAATGCTTTGAAATGCTGTGCGTCTCGCTTCATTCTGGGCTGCCCTTCTCGGCCTTCGGTTGCCCTTTGGCATCCACAACCAATTTGAACTCGACAACATCACCAGCTGTGGGAACCTCATGGGCACTGGACTCTCCGTGGCTGGCTGAAACCTTTCCAGTTGTATCAGCCAAGGAGCCGAATTCAGCTGGTTCTTGTGAAGAAAAATGTCTCGGTCACCAATCTTCTGAGCGACATCGCTGCATCTTACCCAGCCAAAGCTGCCACGAAAGAACTTCACAATGCCCTCGTGGCGGTCGTTGGAATCGCTTTCCATGGCATATACTCATTACTCGAGCCCATGCCGCGCAAAAGCCGTGGGTCAAGCAAGAAAATTACACCACCGTAGACCCCAAACAGTTTGTGTTTTTCAAAATCGGAACACTCTGCAACCAGAGCTTGCGACCTCCAGAGCTGGGAGACAAAGGATTGCAAGACAGAGGCGGCCACAGCAGGGAGACAAACGTAAAGGATTGCAAGCGACATGCAGCCCAGAGCCGGGTGACAAATAAAGGATTGCAAGGCAGAGGCGGATACAGCAGTCTAGAGCTGGGAGACAAATGCAAAGGCTTGCGAGGACACATGTAAAGGATTGCAAGGCAGAGGCGGACACAGCAGCCCAGCGCTGGGAGACAAATGTACAGGATTGCAAGGCAGAGGCGGACACACCAGAGCTGGGAGAGAAATGTAAAGGATTGCAAGGCAGAGGCGGAGACAGCGGTCCAGAGCTGGGAGACACATGTAAAGGATTGCAAGCGACACGCAGTGCAGAGCTGGGAGACAAATGTAAAGGATTGCAGGGCAGAGCAGCTGGGACACAAATGTGAAGGGTTGCAAGCGAGAGGGGGAGAGAGGAGGCACATGCAAAGGAAAGAAGGAAGACAAGACGACACAATGACCAACAAGAAGGGGGACAACACGGGAGACAAGAAGTGAGACAAAAGGAAGCAGAGGGGAGACAAGACGGACACAGTGACCAACAAGAAGGGAGACAAGACCGGAGACAAAGGGAGACAGAAGGGAGACAAGGCGGAGACAAGGCGGAGACAAGGCGGAGACAAGGCGGAGACAAGGCGGACACAATGACCAACAACAAGGGGGACAGAAGGAAGACATGCGGACACAGTGAAGGGAGACAAGGAGGCAGACAAAGACAAGGCGGACACAATGACCAACAAAAAGGGAAACAAGAAGGGAGACAAAAGGAAACAGAAGGGAGACAAGGCGGACACAGTGACCCACAGAAGGGACGAGGCGGACACAATGACCAACAAGAGGGAGACAAAAAGGAGACAAAAGATAACAGAAGGGAGACAAGACGGACACAATGATCAACAAGAAGGGAGACAAGAAGGGAGACAAAAGGTAATAGAAGGGAGACAAGACGGGCACAATGACCCACAAGAAGGGAGACAAAACCGGAGACAAAGAAAGAATGAAGGGAGACAAGGCGGACACAGTGACCAACAAGAAGGGAGACAAGAAGGGAGACAAAAGGAAACAGAAGGGAGACAAGGCGGACACAGTGACCAACAAGAAGAGGGACACAGTGACCAACAAGAAGGGAGACCAACAGAGACAAGCCGGACGGAAGGCAGACACGCTGTCCGGCAGCAAGGCGGACACTCTTTGAAAGTATTTAGAACCCCTAACAGTAACCTGTTTGGGGAAGTCCAGAAACTACATGGGAAACACATGAATAGAAATGCTTCATGGCCGGCGGAAAGGGCGGACACCAGCAGTGCAGGCGCGGAAATGGGCGGACACCAGCAGTGACAGAAAGGGCGGACACACCTTAAGAAAGAATTGAGAAACCCTGCGTAACGGCAAACTGTTTGGGGAATGAATAGAAATGTTGCATCGCCAGCGGAAAAGGGTGGACACCAGCAGTGACAGACCTCGGAGACAAATGAACAGAAATGCTACATGGCCAACGGAAAAGGGCGGACACCAGCAGTGACAGACCTGGGAGAAGAATGAATAGAAATGCTACATGGCCAGCGGAAAAGGGCGGACACCAGCAGCGACACAAAGGGCGGACACATCTTAAGAAAGAATTGAGAACCCCTAACAGTAAACTGTTTGGAGAAAAACCACTAAAATCTGCGTGCACTCTGCAAAAACTGTGTTCACCCTGGCCGGTCGCTGCTAGTCGTCAAGTCCCACTTTCAGCTGTCTTTTTTGTCGACCGCGCGCGAAGCTTGCATGGAAACGAACCGGAGCTTGAATGACACATGTTGGGCTATATGTAAGTGGTAGAGAGCAAGAAAGACAAAGGCCAAGCTCACGTCACGGGCGACTGGTGACTGCGCACGTCACGCACGGAAGCGCTCCACTACTTAAACTTTGGTAAGGAAGGAACATACACAATCCTTGCAGGTACCCTAACAAGAAACAGGTTGGAGGCCATTGCTACTAGTATCAAGAAGCTATATACTAGGAACAAGGGGATTATCCCATGGCATTGAACACAATCTAGTAACTATTGATGAATATGCTCATTGCACGTGGCACTCCGTCTGCAACGTGCTGAGGTATTCACAGGGTGTCTGTCTTTTTGCTGTGCAGGCCCGTCATGAACCCTGAACTGAGTGTCAGCCCCTCAACTTGCCTAGCAAAAAAAACAACAAATCTGCCCCAGCATCAAAGCCAGCCAGCCATGTTTGGTGTGAAACGCTGTGAAGCTAAGTGGAGAAGGTAAGCCTCATGGCGCCTCTTTTTTCTTCTCCTAAATTGTCCCGAGTCCACCACAACTAGAAAATGTTGCGACAATGTGCCTAAGAGCGATGGCCCAAACTAGAAGCGATGGCCTCCAACCTGTCTCAAGTTATAAAACACTAAAAAACACTAAAAGAATGTGAGTTCCTTGTCTTTTGCTTTGTCCTTTTCCTTCACCTGTCCAGCGTGATACATCGAAGTGCAGAAGAAACTGCAGTCAACTTTCCCGAACAGCACTCAGCACACCTTCTCTTTGCTTTTACCTTGTTTTTCCTGAACCAACACATTTTGTGCGATGAGTTCTGTGCCAGCCTTTTAGCAGCTAGTGACTAGTGGCAGGAAGCATGCAAAGCCCAACATTTCAACCCCAGCCTTCTCATCATCTTTGTCTTTTTCATCCTTTTCTTTTTTCTCCTTCGATTTTTGCTTTTGATCCTTTTGGCTTTTATTAAGTTTCTTTTTTTTGGGTCTGCTTTGAGAGCTGCTTGAACTACGTCGTCTAGAGCTGGAGCTGCTTCGGCGACACTTGCGGCGACTACGGCTGCGGCTGCTGCTACTGCGCTTGCGGCTACGCTTGCTGCGGCTCCGCTTGCGCTTTTGGTCTTTCTCTTTGGCATTGCCCGAAGACTTCTGGCTTGCCTCATTCTTCTGTTTGCCGCTTCCACCCAATACTCGGCTCTTTTCTGCTGCCATTAGCTTTCGCACCGTGGCTTCGTCCATTAGCTGCTCAGACTTGCCATCTGAGGCTGCAAATCGACTGCTTAGGTCTGCATCGGTGTAGCCCAGGACCTTCACATGACGTTTCTTGTCAACAACTCCATCTACTCCTGGCCCTGTGTTGCCCATGACAGGCTCACGGCTGTAGATGCAATGCCCTATATTGTAGCCTTTGCGCAAGCTTTCAAGCCTTGGATTCCAATCTGCAAAAAAAGAAGTGGTGCAGCACGGTAGGTTACAAGCACAAATGCGTTCGGAAAAAACAACATGCCCGGAGAGTAGGGTCAGGTCGCCCCGGCAAATGCTGCCAAGCAGAATGCCAAAGTTTCTTAAACTAGGAACACATCACCAATCCAAAATGGGCACAAGCAAAAACAATAAGAAGGAAACATCCAGGCCAACTCTGCCACGGAATAAGGAGGAATCTGTCCGAAGTTTGGGCCAAAGGCACTTCATGCTTACCAAGGCTGAAGGCTTATTGGAGGCCGTGAGGTGCTCATCCAACAAAACGATGTCCTGGGCTGAGAAACGGCATTTATATGGGTTCTATAGGTTCAATTCAGGTAGAATGACAAATCTCCCTTGGAAATGGTCAACAAATTGTTTCCATGATAAATGCCTTTGGCGAATGAAATCAACAACTGGGCCTTGCCTTCTCAACATCTTTGCCCATAGCCTCCCGCATTGACATGGCCTGTGCCCGGTTGCGTCGCCAAGGAAAATCTACAAATCATCCCTGTTGGACTCAAACTCTTGTTGGACTCTGTTGGACCAAAACACTTCGAACGAAAGCGAGTTCCTCCTCCAGTTTGGTTGCAGCCCCTTTGTCAAGCTTGTGCCTTCGAAACGCAACGACTCTCACCCTGGAAAGTACCACACTGCAATTGCTCAAAGCTTCTCAGCAAGTTGAGGCTTTGAAGACCTGAAATTGTGCTCATGAGGGACATCCAGAACTAACCAACCTCCGGGCAAGCTCTCGAACACGAGGGCCACACTTCGCCTTGAAAACACGGGCTGCGCTTTAGAATGGTTCGCTGTCCAAGAAGAAACGATTCCAACGTGTTATGTCTGCGCCTTCCCGACAAAGGTGCCCTTCTGCATGTCTTTCACTTTCAAGTTCAACATTGCCGCAGGGGTATGTGCGTCCTGTGCGTTCGGGACAGTCTGACCACAAAGGTGCGGTTTGCAGCCAGGCAGCTAGGATATGCTATGACTCTGTCATGCACATATCTAAACGTGTTCATGATCAAGTGTGTTCCATCTTCTCCTTGAGGATCTCATACAGCCGCTCCAAGTCCTGCTCCCACGTGTTCATCCTGGAAGGGGTGCTTTGCAACTGCGCTCGATGCGAACATCAAAGCACCCAACCAAAGGCCCCGCATGAATCCAAAGCTAAGTTCGGCCAAGCTTGTAATGATTGGCTCCTCTTCTCAATCATGATGTCATTCAGCTTCTGCGTGAGGCCAGCATCGATTTTGAAGGTGTACGCAAGCTGTTGGATGTCAGGATCCTTTGAAGTCAGCCAGTGCCAAAATTAAAAAATCACAGCAAGCCAAGCGAGCTGCTGCTTCAGCCAGGCAACAAGGTCGTGGTGTTTGGGCTCCGTCTCCAAATCAGAAGAGGAGTCATATCTTTCAGGTTCCTTTCCCTTCGGCTCCTCGCAGGGCTTAGAACAGGGTCATGACTTGTCAAGCTATGAGAGTTGTTTCGTGTTCTGCATGTTTGGCTCAAAATCCACATGCAAATGCTGACACTACCTCAATGGGAGCTGGAGGGAGTTGTTGCGACTCTTCATTCTGCTTGTTCTTCTTCCGGCCTATGCACAATGGCTTGGGGAATTGGACAGCCATATTCCGCTATATCATTCATAATGATAGTGATATTGAGTGACCAACCCATCTTTCCATCAACGGTACGGCGGACAGCGGGCCGCTATCGCACAGCCTGGGCCAGGGTCAGTCCATCACAGACTCATATGTATATACCCCCAAAACATAAAATACTGTAGAAAAGTTGCATCCTGGAAAAGTTTAGCAGAAATCCCCATATCAGCCAACTTTTGCATCCTTTGTTTCAAGCTGCCGTTGTCACACGTGCGCATTCCTGTCCACATACCTGTGAAATGTTTCTTCAGACCGACAACGCTCGGCCGCTCCAATTTCAGCTAAGGAGCTGCCAAAGGTATATATAGTTCTGGCCCGTAGGCTGCTCGAGGGAACACACTTGAGAGACAAAGGAAAATACAAAATGCTTCAAGCATGGTATCACCACAAGCATGCAGCTCAAACTATCCAGCATGAAATCGATGACAACTGCCGGTCTTTATCACAGCAACCTGGGATCAAAGGCTCATTCTGGTGACCACTTTAGGCCCTGTACACTTGTGCTTCAGATCAATCGAGGAATCTCTGGTGTGGTTCCTGCTGAACAAAGCCCGAACCGCCACCTTTCAGCTGGCTCACTAAAGTTGAATCAGGAGACACCATCTGCTTCTGCTTCTTGCATTCCATTCATCAGCTATTAACGTCAACGGAAACTTCTGAGTGAATCAGTGAAACCTTCAACGAGAAATATATAGATCTGTGCTTTCGCGGCGCTACTGACAAATCGTCAGGCCAGCAGGTTCACTGGCTTGACCGTCGCCAAGAGTAGGTTGAAGTCGTTGAACTTGAGAGCATATGCCCAGTACTTACGAGAATGGAACAAGCCGAGAGCTGGAAGGAATTGCATACAAACCACTCCAAAAAAGAAAATGCCAGCAGCCCAAGGCCACAGCCGTGAACCACAATCCCTGGCAACCATAACGAATGTGATGTCCGAGTAGGTGTCGAAGCGACCCAAGATCGAAAGTCCAAGGCCCAAACAACACTCAGCAGGCTGCTTCCGAAAAAGCTGCGTACCCGCGTGAGTCTGAACAAGCAGCCACAACTCAAAAACGATCATCACAATAACTGCACTGAAGAAGAGAATGTGTGCTTGGGATGGGAGGCTGCTGCTGCACACTAGTCGGTTTTCAAAAACTAGCGGGATGCTCAGGATGCCTCCCCAAAACACCAGGACCAAAATCAACAAAATCACCAAAACACTGCGCCTTTTGTCCAGTACGTCCAGAATGTCAGCAGTTTCATCAAACTCATCCAAATCAGCCGGCACTTCTCTGGCAAAACTGGAGGGCCGTTTTGTCATTTTCTGGTCCGCTAGTAAAGGGAGGGCCTCTTTCAGAATGGTCTCCGTGTTCAGCGCAGAGCTTGCCTTGCCGTTCTCACCTTCTTGTCTCTTACTGATCTTCATGACACGTTGGGTCAAAGCAGCCAATTCCTCCTCGCTCTTTCGTTGTCGGATCCATTCCATAACTGGGCCGCCAGCAGATGCAAGCAAGCCACACGAAACTGACGCTATTGTGAAGGCCGCGCTGGTTAGCGGCAATGTCTTCCAATGCTCCCACAAGAATAATAGCTGCACACTTCCTTGGCCCAAGTCCTCGCAAACAAGTTTGACCAAGCCAATTAACTTCTTGACAGATGCCATGGAAAGTTCACTTGCTCTCATCGCGAAGCTGCGAAGTTCATCATCTCCGTCAGAAGCTACCTTGGTCAAGCTCAACTTCCAAGATCGTCCATGCTCTTGGTTTGTACATGTGCCAGTGATGGTAATTGGTTCAACATCGAGATCAACGGAGCCCGTGTAAGTTGAATTCCAACCCTGACCGGAGCATCGCAGTGTAACTAGCGTTTTCGCATCCTCCACCACGACGATTCCGCTCAGCTTCGAATCTGGGTTTCCAATGCTTGATTTTCCAACTCCGCTCACAACACCACCACTCTGCAGCAGCGTCCAGGTACCAATGGGCTTGTCAGAGAAGTCAGGCTCTTCAAGCCAGTCTCCACTAACGTTGTACATTCTACCATCAGAAACCTGGACAAAGCATTTCCACCTGTTCAGACTGGTGACTTGATCCAATCGCATCGGAAAGTACTACTGTAGAACTTCACCATCCTAGCTAATTGACAAGAAACTTCACAGTTGTCAATCTGCGTACACGGCCTAAGGATGCACAGGTCAAGTCAGCAATTCAATAAGGCTTATGTGTACTGTGTAGCGGGCTTTTTGTCTGACACTCAAATTTTCAATTGTTTGCCAAAGAATGCATAACATAGCCTCCGCACCTCTTTGGGGAAGTCATGGCCCACGTTTGGGGTGTGAAGCTCGATCGAATCAGGAGGTGAACCCAGAAGTTTGTAAATGCTCCCTGCAGCCTGAACACACGCCCGCACTCCCTGCACATCGAAATTCTCATCACCAAGGGGAGCATTGCAAAAAATGTGCCGGGGAGCACAGGCAGCCAAGACTTCGTGAAATTCAAATGGCATGCAAGCTGGATCCTTATGGAAATGTGTGGATATGCGTGGCATGTACTTTTCCGGCCATGCCCACACGGAAAGGTCTTTTTGCGGCACAGTTTCTACATACCTCGCAAATGAAGTGAAGCCACAGCTTGTGCCAATCACCTTGATGCGGGGATCAAACACTGCAAGAAAGAGTGAGTTGTGTCCACCCAGCGAATGCCCAAGGGCCCCGATCCTTTCAGAGTCAACCTGCGGAAGGCCAACAAGCAAATCTACAGCACGCAAATGATTCCAAATCCCTTTCATAGTCACACTTGCATAACCTCTCTGATAAACAGGAAAACTGTAGCCGCCAAATCCGGGATAGTCGATTGTAAGCGTCACATAACCCAACTGCGCCAGCTCCAACGCGTAGCACAACTCTCGTGAGCCTCCTAGGCCAGCAGGCTCATCCTTCCCAGTTTGTGGGTTCATTGTGGTCTGGTGAGGGCATAGGACTGCGGGGCAAGGACTTGAAACTTGTGGAATCAAGAGCCATCCCTCGACCTGATCTTGCTCCTCTGGACAAAAACGAATTTTCTGCATCACCACTTTGCAAGCACAATCAGGTGTGGTGGGCACATTCTGTGAAAGAATGTCAAACGGCACTGGGGCGTGCAATTCCCTCGCCTTCGCACCGGTCGAAGGAAACCAGCCCATGACAACTTGCATGTTGTGAATTATGTGCCTCCGGCGTTCTTGCCACTGCTCAACATCTAGAATGGGTTGCTCTTGGCTGGCTAACAGGTGGCGGACCACTGAAACATCAGAGTGCGAGCGATAAGCTAGAGGCTTGGCACCCAGTATTGCCGAGCACCTTTCTAGCTGAGCACGCTGGACCACGGCTCTTGTCATGGGCATTGTGAGATCATGGCCATTTGCTGACAAGAAGCTCTGAATGTCGTGTTCAGTTTGGCCCCCGCTCTGGCTTGATAGAAACCGAGCTGTCAATTCCAGAAGGTCGTCACTTTCAGCTTTCTCTGCGCCACTGGAAATGCGTTGCTCTGGGGACAGGGCGGCATCGTCTTCCAATGGCTGCCCAAGCAAGCCTCCCATTGCATGAACCAAAGGCTCGAGCCGCTGCCGGCCAATGTCAGGGCTAACCATTTCCTTGTGTAATCTCTAACGGCACCACGTGCAAAGGGAGTGGGACCGTGAGGGGCTAAAGCGCAACACAAATGCAATCATGCATCGCGCTGTTTTCAAAGAGGCGATATGGCTCGGGCCCTCGTGGCCGGAAGTGAAAGTGTCGTGACGCGCGATCAACCGAAGGTCCACATGAGTCAACGGGTCAAGCACTAATGCGTCCAATCTTCACACTGGGGTATTTTTCTTTTGACTCATGTGCTTCCCTCAGCTGAACTACTGGCTTCTGGAGCCATGCGAGCAACTGATCTCGCAAGTCGACCGAGATCTTGGTCAGGGAGTCTGCCATTTGAAGGCCTGTTGGAATCCAATGGATCGTATGCCGATCAACCACTTCTTGGATACTGCGGATGTTGACCGACCGCTTGTCCTCTGCAGTCGGATTCGATGAACTCACCGAATCATACAGGCTTTTGCAGTCTGTAGCCAACAATGCCCTCAACTTTGGCCCGATGCGATGGGCCGGAACTCCAAAAACCAACTCTCCAAGGATGTACTGCAAGTAAGCCAACCTGTCAGCTGCTGTGTCGGCTGCTACCGATTCAGCTGCAAGCGCCGAGCGGCAAACTCGCTTTGACCTGGATGACTTCCAGTCAACAACAGCCCCATAGCAAGGCTTCTCGGTGACGGTGGTGGGCGTCAACAACAGTACCTGTCCACGCTGACTTGCACTGCCCTGGGCGTTGGCCCAACTTGCGTCGCTGTAGGCCAGGATTGTGGTGCTTTTGTCAATGGGCACAGGGAACAACCGAAGTCCTAAGGCCTTGGTGTCCTTCACATGCTGCAGGTGCTGGTACAGGCAATCAAGGTCACCGTACGTTGTCTCCTGTCCTCTGTTGGACAATGAAACTGCACTGCTGATGTCCAACCTGCTTTGCCCTGCAAGCCATTGTAAACAACCACTGATCGACCTGAACTCTGGCCAATGCTCTGCTGCAAGGATGTCAGTGTTCTTGTTCTTTCGACTGATGTAGCCCTGCTCCAAACTCTCAATGAAGGTCTCCTGAACAATGCGGAGAGTCTGGATGTCACCGGTCTGCTCAAGGTGCAACTCCTTTCCCTTGAACACTAAGGGATGTCCAATCTCAAGGAACTGCTGTGCACCCCAATTGAAGGCAGCTGTAAACTTGTCAAAGGGGAAGGAATCGTTGAAGGTGATGAGAAAATCATCAACGTAACAGATGAGTACTGCAGCTGGCGAAGGTGGGTTATCAGGATCCGGGAAGTAAAACATCATTCTGTCGAAGGAGTGGATCCTGAAGCCTAGCCGCTGAAGTCTGTCTGTCACTTCTTTTGCCCAGGTGTACGGTGCGTTCGAGAGGCCGTACACGTTTCCTGTGATCTCGTAAAGATCACTGGTGAACACCTTGGCTTTAAGCAGGATGGGATCCTTCGGGGCACGAAGGTAAAGCTTTCCAGCTCTTTCGGACAGGTCTTGAGCTCCCTGAAGAAACGCTGTAGTTGCGACACCTGCCCACATCTTCCAAGTCTTGCTGGAGCCAAAGGCTTTTCCATGAAGTCCGCTCAGAAAGATGGCATAGGTCAGCATCTCTGAGATTCTGCTTGGTGTAGCTGCCTGTCGGGTGAGCGACTTCAAGTCGGGTCTTGCTTTCCTCTTGCAACGATTCTTGTCTTTGCCTTAAGCGGAGGCACTCCTTTGTTCTTGTCTCGGTAGCAAGCGCGGCTTGTGATCGCGCTTGCGCTTTTGAGGATCTCGAAGGATCTCCTGAGCTTCTGCGGGTGGAACTGGCTTGAGGGATTTCCACTCCATGAAGCTGGCTTCTTCTTTTTGCGCTGACTTGATGAACTCCTGGATGTACTCCTCACTTTGCGACAAAATGTCGCGGTAGTGAAGCTCCTTTTCGATGGCTTTCTTTTCTTGTCTGGTCAGGCTTGGTGCTCCTGTCTTGTAGTCCTCCACTTCAGTCTCTGTGTCACTTGGGCGACTAAAGTGATCATCGACTGTCTTGGCCAACTTGGTCGCGTAGACCTTGTAGTACTTCTTGGATGAAGGCAGTGGAGTGTCTTCTGATCCATCCCAGCCAGGCTCAATCTCCTCAAGTGCATCATCAAAAGCTCTAAAGGCCTGGGTCTTGCGGGATGGCTTGGAGTACCATAGCTCGGTGATGGTGTTCATAGGGCCATCAAAGTTGTGCTTCTCTTCATCTTCGTTGTCAGGATTGAAGACTCCTTCGAAGATGATCTGGTTGGAGTTTGCATCGATGGTCCTCCGCCACTTGACATGACTCATAGGAGGGCCTGTCTTCAATCGTCAGCTGTGGCTGTGAAACACAAAGGTCTAGCCGAGCCCAGCATCGCAAATTCTCAAAGGGGCGTGCACACTTGCTCTGGTAGTTGAAGAGCTCAAAGGATGAATTCGTGACTCTGCGGGCCTTCACATCCATCGTCAGTGCGTCAAATGGCCGTTTGGCCGGAAGCACTGGCAGCGGTTCTGTGGGCTCAGCGAGCTCTGGTGGTGTAGCATGCTTCAAGATTCCTGTCTGGTTGGTCATCTTCGCCCGTGAGGTCCACCATGTCAGATGCCTTAGGTACCGGCAAAGGGGCCAGTCCTGAACTTGGTAGAGCTTGAGTCGGTAGAGGTTCCGGGTCCGGAAGGTGTGAGCCACCGCGCCTCCGTGTTAGGCACGCCGGAACTCTCCCCAGGATGTGGTTCTGAATGTTCCTGAGGTGTCTCTTGAGACGGTGCGGCATCTGCAATCGGTGGGACCTCGGGCACTGTCAAAGTTGCCTTTCTTGATGTCTCAAGGCGTCTCTGGCTGACTGGGGTCCGAGATCTGATTCTTCGGCGTGTGTGAATGGCACAGGTGTCATGGCTTGTTCTGTCTCAGGTGGTCCAAAAACATTTTGAGTCTGGCGAATGTTCTGCTGCAGATTGATGACTGTCTGTGGACTCTGGGGCTCATACGGATCATGTACGGCCGGCGGTGGTGAAGTTGTCCTTTGGCCGAGAGGCAAAACCAACGGTTCGGCAGCCTGGGCCTGTGGATGTTCTTGTTGAGGCACATCCAACGTGGGGAAGTCTGCATCCTCGAACTCGAGGTTTTCTGCCTCAGGCGGTGGAACCTCAATGCCTTCTGGGATTTGGTGATCTTCCCAGAGATCATCGGCTATATTCTTCTCAGCCGTCTTGAGGGCACGAACATCTTCTTTGGTGGGGATGTAGTTCTCGTACCCAAAAACATTTCTTGCTTGGCCTCGTGAGACCTTGACGGTGTTTGCACCGCTCTGAACCCATAGGTCACCTGAAGGGTCGCTTCCAAGGTAGCGAGCAATTCGATATCCTTTGCGTTTCCGATGTGAGTGGGTAGTCCATCTCCAATATGCCAAGAGAGATCCTGGTGTTGGGTCCTCGATGGCATCTGCAGAATTCGTCTTTCTCAACAAAGCTCTCCTCAAGGCTGAAGAGGCTGATGCTTCTGCAAGGGCCTTCATGGCTTCGCATCTCATCATGGCCGATTGTTGTTGTGCTTCTGAAGTGGTTGAGCCGGAAACCAAAGCTCTTGGATCGTTGATGAAATCTAGGCCAATCCTTGGGATCTTGCCGAAGGCTGCAATGTATGGCGGACGACCTGAGCTCCAAGTAGCAGCATTCTTTGCATGAAGTGCCGAGATGATGCCATTGTCCAGCTCTTCTGGTGTGGAACATGGTGTGGCATCAACAATTCTTTCGAGCAGCATTCTCAACGTGCCATTGTGCCTTTCAATGACACCCAATTGGTGGTGTGCTTCGGGAGCTATGAAGTCAACAAAGGCGCCACCTTCGTCGAAGTAGTCCTGGAAGTAGGACTTGAAAGCTCCATCATCATCAACTGTCAACCTCAGCGGAAAGCCAAAGTTGCGAACCCATGCCGTCTTGAAGGCCTGTGCAACATGTTCAGGATTTCTGGACTCAAGCCTGATGGCAGCATGGTAGTGGGTGGCTTCGCAGATGATTCCCAAGATGGGGTAGTTGGTGGATCTGATGTCGCGGCAGTAGAAGATGTCTGCCTGCAAATGATCTGCGAATTGGCCCAAAAACTTTGGTGGTGCGGCTGGATTCGGTCTGCCTGGCGGTTTTGACCGAAGACATGCAGAGCACTGCATGGATTTAGTGGCTTTGATCACCTGGTCACTGGTGATGCCGTTCAAGGAGGGTAGCTTGATCAGCTCTCCTGGTGGAAGGTGGCCCATATTCTTGTGCATTCTGGCGACTGCAGCTTTGATGGATCTGTCAATGCCAGGTGTGCCAGGGAAGGTGATCTCATCGTGGAAGATCTCCTTTGTCGGGTTCTCTCTGGCCTGAACTGGTTCTGGCTCCTGGTCACGTTCTGCTGCTTCTTCGCCGGGGACTCCAAGATCTTCATCAGCCATTCTTGGATAGCCGTAGAAGAAGACTGCAATGTCAACTGGTGCTGAAAATCTTCCTCTTGGGAAGTGGACGTCTGAGAGGTCTTCTGCTGTGATGTCGAGCTCCTCTCTGGTGGTACATTTCAGCACTTGTCCTCGGTGTGTGTGAGGAACATGTTGTGGGAGCCTTTGCACAAGAGGCCGGTGCGCAAGCTGAAGTCTGGTGATTTCCCATGGCAGTAGGGCTTGAATCTGGCTGTAGAGAAGGTCATGCTTCCCCAGCATGATGTTGCTCGTACTGGATGAGGTAAAAAGCCGTCTGGCTTGGTCAATCGCCTGTTTCCAAGCTTGCTGATCACTTGATGGCTGCGAGAAAGCGGCATAGACCGTCTTGATCTGGAAGCGCGCAGGGTTGCGCATCTTGGCCACATATCTGATTCCTCTCAAGATGGAGGTGACGCCCGGAGGGTAGTCTTGCGACAAAGTGACTTCTTTGCCCTCCAGAGGTGTGCATTGCTCCAGTTCTGCAGCCGTGAGCTTGTGGTCCAAAAAGCTGGAGGCAAATCTGAAGGCTTTCTTGATTGGCTGACCTTTGGAATTGACTCCGCCGTAGGCAGGTGCTGAGGAATCCATTGGTCTCCTCAAGCATGGACTTGACTGAAGGCTCATCCCAAAGCCGTGAGGTGAGCGGGTTCTCAAGCAGGTAGTATCGTCCTGCCTGATGCTGCATCTTGCACCATTCCATGGCTTCTTGTAGGACCGGCCGGATTTTGTCTGTAGTTGATATTGTCTTGCATCAAGATCCATGGTGTGCAGTGCAACTCCTCTATCAAAACGAGAGGCTCATAGTGTTTGATGCAGCGCCTGACGTAGGCCTGGCGCTCTGATTGAGCGAGGTCATAGCCGGTGTTGTAGTCCATCGGCTGGCATGCTGTGAGGCCATGCGCTGAAGCTCTTTTGGAAATGATGCCACGCCCGGCAAATGTTTCCAGAATGTCAACTCTTGTTCTCTTGGTTCGATGTGTGGTGGCAAGAGCTTCATACAAATCATTCTCAATCTCAGCTGCATGTCGTGCTTTGCGGATCTTTCCGAGCAGCTGCTTGCGATGTCCTGTGTCATTGGAGTGCGTCAAAACAGGGATCCTGGTGTTCCACCGCTGACCATCTCGTCCATGCGGCTTTGATGCTCCGTCCGGGTCCAGTCGTACTCTTCTTCCTCCTCCTGACTGCGGACACTCTGAACGCTCATAGTCATGCCCAGGTCCGAGATGTCGTCGCCCGGGTCGGAGTAAACCGCCACCTGTTGGGCGTAGGCTACCGAGTTCGGAGAACGCCGATTCGAACCCGTCCGAGAAGAGGTTGAGATCGGAGGTGGTGGAAGAGGCATAGGTGAAGGTGGTTCCTGCTTGGGCCTGGTCTTGCACTTGCTCGAAGCTCCGACTGCCGCTGGCTGGGAGGAAGAGGCCTTCTCCAAGATATTTAAAGAGCAAGGCTGCGGCAAAGAAGATCTTTGAGACACAGACCAACCAGCCGATGCCTCCCATGCCTGCTTTTCCGGAATCCACTTCACCCGGCAATGGCACAGTGTGCACGTCGCAAACGACCCGTGCTTGTTGCCGTGCCTTTTCCATTCTGGATGGCTGCAATCCGTGGGCATCTTGAGGGGCTCTCTCTTCATCTTGGCCATGAGCGTATCGAGCTCCCTCTGCTGATTGGTCTCGCGAAGGGTGAGCCAACAGCGACGTTCCATGCCCAGCTTCACCATCTTTGACATCCACTTGAAGGTGGTGAACTCGATGCTCATGAGGAATTGGACAATCCTCCTCCATGCCTGAATCCATCGTGGAGGAGCGGAAGGCATCAGTGCGCGAAGATCGAGGTGCTGAGTCTTCGGGCCTTGAGTGCTGCTGAAGTCGAGGGTGCAATGAGATCACTTCAGGATGAGGGTCGTGCCAAAACTTCTCATGCGACAACTGTTTCCAAACATCCAACTCATGCACACGTGAACTGAAATCAGCAATGCAAACTGCCAAATGTCCATTAACCTTCTTCAACTGCATGCTCACATCTATTGCTTTGAACTGAATTGTGGATGAGGCACAATCAATGACTGCATGCATGCTTTCCAAAAACGTGTTTGAAGCCAACAATGGAATGTTTGCTGCAACAGAGCTTGCTCCAACCAACATGCGATGACCGTCCAAACAAACAGGAGTGTAAACTCGGTCCTTGGCAGTGATCGGATCTCCAGCTCCAAATTGGAAAGCCTCGGGCGCAGTGATCATCTTGCAATAAAGGCGGTGTTGCGCAAGGAGTTGTTGATGGGAGTGCAACCACGACTGACCACAACACATACGCTGGCGTGCGGTATCAATGATCATCAACCCAGCCAACCCTGCCAATGCATCATTGTTCAACAAAACCTCAAATGCACTGCAAAAGGTGACAAAGGTGAAGAACGGTGGTTGCTCAACCTGTGGTGGTACTGAATGGTGTGTGGTTGAACCATCGTCCCGGTAGACCGTGGAGAAGAGCACCTATTTCGACTGCGAGGACGAAGGCATTGGTGAAGGCTTTCCTTTCTTACCAATTGCTTTGGAATCACCTTTGCCTTTTCGACTTGCTGCACATTCAGCATCACCTGCCCAATGCCCTTGAAGGCCACAGGCGGAACATGTCGAAGTCTTCTTGCGCTCTTCGATGGATTTGGTGCCACTGAACTTCCTGCCCAATGTCATCGACTGCAACTTTCGAGCGGTCACTGTGAGGACCTGTGCCAATGACTCGGGATCTGCATCTTCCAACTCCTGAGGTTCTTCTGGGTCCTCAGGATCCTCAAACAACTCTTCATCAGCCAACTCTTGACCATCTTGATCAGGAATAACTCTTCTTCATCATCGCCGTCTTCAGCGATGGCATCAAGGGCTGCTGCATCGTCATGTGCAGTGACAAAGGCATGCTTAGCCTTACCTTTGCCCTTTCCCTTGCCCTTCGTGAAACTCGAAGAGGTCGTGGTAGATGCGGACGACGAGGAAGCTGATGAACCTGGATTTCCAAATTGTCGTGACTTGATGGGCTGTCCATCTTTACCAAACAACTGTGGAGGTGGCTTGTGCTCGGGGAAGGACATGCACAACGACTCACACATGGCACTGTATGACAAGTTGTAACCTGCACCAATCAAAACCAACCTTTGGTTTTCCGGGGGCAGCCGACTGCGTTCCAACAACCTATTGCCCCGGCTCTCTTCGTCATACATGCCTCGAACATCGACTGAGACAGATTGCAATGCTTGTTCAGCTCGACGATACCTGTTTGCAAATGCTCGTAGCGACTCCGAAGGCTGTCGAACAATGCTTTCGTAATCAGCCATGAGCTTGCGTTTTTGGTATACCAACTTTGTAGCCAAACCTGCTTGCAATGTCTGCTCAATGTATTCGATGCCGTCCGATTGATCCAAACGCTCCAAATCACAATGCTCCAGTTCCTCTTCAGCTTCTCCGGTCAATGAGCTGTAGAGGAACAATGCGGCATCGCGCCGACTCATGAAGCCAAGGATCTGCTTCTTCCAAATTGCCAACTTCCTTTGCCACTTTGGGAAGCTCCTCAAATCATCTCGGGAATACCGCCATGCTGGAGGATTGGGTGGCGCACCTGAACGAAACTTCACACCGCGCTCAGGACCCATCCTAGAGTTCCAGCTCTTGGAATCCGAGTGATCGCTTCCCTTGGAGTCAACAACATTCTGCAATGCACGAACCAGGTTGCTGATCGACCTTGTCAACCCAACTGATTGTCCTGCTGCTGATTGCCCCTGTGACAATGTAGGCAACTGTTGCTCAATGTCAATGCCTGTACCACCAACTGCTGCTGTTGTAGCATCATCAACTGCTGCTGCATTGTATTGGGCTCGTTTCCTAGATCGACGATTTCGACGGCGCTGGGCACCTTGTGGAGACAAAGTGTCAGGGTCAACAATCGGATCCTCGGTGCCGGCTTCAGACTCTCCGCGCTCGCGTCCTTCTGGAAGGCTTGAAGGGGGCTTCGAAGGTCCAAAACCTAACTGGCCGTCAACAGCTTGCTCTCTCGACGGGTGCTCAACTGGAGGAACATCATCCGGAGGATGCAATACCTGCGAGGCCGAACTCTGCCGTGGCATGAAAACCCAAACGCCATCCTCAGTCTCATGTCGCACAGGCTGGGACACACGGTGGTAGTCAGCGCTTCGGCAATCGGCACACTTCCAACCTTCACCCGTCCACATGAACGTACTGTTGCCACACTGCAAGCAACGCCAACTGTCCGTATCGTCTGAAGCGACGGAACGACGAGAGCGATGCGAGGCGGCAGAACCATCATGGGAGAACATTGGGAGGTCCTCAAAGTCAAACATCAACCTTTCGGGATGCGACCGAGAACCTGCAACCAAGCTCCGGTGCCCAACTAACGGCACCACGTGCAAAGGGAGTGGGAAGTGAGGGGCTAAAGCGCAACACAAATGCAATCATGCATCGCGCTGTTTTCAAAGAGGCGATATGGCTCGGGCCCTCGTGGCCGGAAGTGAAAGTGTCGTGACGTGCGATCAACCGAAGGTCCACATGAGTCAACGGGTCAAGCACTAATGCGTCCAATCTTCACATAATCAAAGGAGGACAGCTCCGGCTCTGGCAAATGCAATAAAGGAATCTCTGAGGCTTGGAGCTAATTTCAGTAAGGGGAAAGCATAAGCTTGTGAATAAAACACTTTCCTGCACTCGCTGCGCTTGTACAATGAGTTGATTCCTTCTACACTGTTTCTAGGTCTTTTTGGCGGGATGCACTCATGCAGAATTCGTAAAGGATTTTGCACTGTTGCTGGCATTGCCCATCTGAAGGTGCAAATCGATTGTTTAGGTCTGCATTTCTCCATGAGTTCTTGTCGCTGGTTTCTGCCACTCTATCGCCCGCCCCCCATCACGGGCTGACGGCTGCATCCACCAGAATGATGTCCTGGACAATCAAAAGCATCTCTACGTCCAATCTGCTCAAGTAGAAGGTGACTCGTAGTGAATACTAATCAATAAACTGTAATTGCTGGAGCTCATTTTTAGGGCTTGCGGACCACTAAACAGAATTAGCCAGATCTAAAACACAACCGCGCCCCGCCTTCTCGACATCTTTCATGGCCTTCATTCAAGCTGTAGGGCCAAGTCCAACATGCACGCCTTGCTCTCGCTCGACTGTGTTTGACCAATCATGCGGCTCCACGAGCACCATTCCGCAAAAGGCATTTCTCCAATAGCTTTCTAGCTTCTAACAAGTGAGAACGAGACCCCACCACAGGCCAGCATCGATTTTGAAGGTGTACGCAAGCTGTTGGATGTCAGGATCCTTTGGAGTCAGCCAGTGCCAAATTGAAAAATCACAGCGAGCCAAGCGAGCTGCTGCTTCAGCCAGGCAACAAGGTCGTGGTGTTTGGGCTCCGTCTCCAAATCAGAAAAGGAGTCATATCTTTCAGGTTCTTTTCCCTTCGGCTCCTCGCAGGCTCACAGGGATTAGAATGATTAGAACAGGGTCATGACTTGTCAAGTCATGAGAGTTGTTTCGTGTTCTGTGTGTTTGGCCCAAAATCCAGATGCAAATGCTGACACTGCCTCAATTGGAGCTTGATTCTGCTTGTTCTTCCGGCCTATGCACAGCAGCTTGGGGAATTGGACAGCTTTGTTCCGCTATATCATTCATAATGACAGTGATATTGAGCATCACAGCCTCATATATATATTATATATATATAGCGACCACCCCCCCAAAAAAAAGATGATACTGGAAAAGTTTAGTATAGAAGAGCTCCCCTTTGTTTCATGCTGCCGCTGTCACCAAATATTCTGTGAAATGTTTCTTCAGACCCGTCCAGGGTTGGACAACGCTCGGCCGCTCCAATTTCAGCTAAGGAGCTGCCAAAGGTATATATAGTTCTGGCCCGTAGGCTGCTCGAGGGAACACACTTGAGAGACAAAGGAAAATACAAAATGCTTCAAGCATGGTATCACCATAAAGCATGCAGCTCAAACTGTCCAGCATGAAATCGATGACAACTGCCGGTCTTTATCACAGCAACCTGGGATCAAAGGCTCATTCTGGTGACCACTTTAGGCCCTGTACACTTGTGCTTCAGATCAATCGGGGAATCTCTGTGCGAAACAGGTGTGGCTCCTGCTGAACAAAGCCTGAGAGTAGCAAGCGTCCATCAACTTCACAGAGACTTGTTGGCTGAAAAGTTGGCTCAGATGATTCCATTTTCCAAGCACCAAGGGCTTCAAGAGAACTTAAATCCCAAGCCTCTACCCGTCCAGGTAACAAGGCCCACAGCCGAGCCCCTCCACGGATGTTTCGGGACATGTGCAAGGCAATGAGTCCGCATGAAAAGCCTTCTGGACTTGCAAAGCCTTGTGCTAAGCCTAAGGGAGCATCCACACGAGGTCTCACTTCATGAGTCAGCACACTTTGGTTGGCCACTTCCAATGCTACGAGGGGAATGTGCTGTCCATCCCATCCGGCAAGCAAGTAGCAAAGGTCAGCCTTTCCACCTGACTGGTCTGACAGCAGCAACTTGATACTGGCGCATGGTAGTTTGGTCCCTGCAAGCTTCATCCATGGCTGACCCTGAATCGGAAGATGCTGAGTCAAACCAGAATCCGCACCCCATTTCAATGCAAGAACCCTGCCTCCATCTTGCAGCTCGGCTGTGGAGCACCCTCCGGCACCACAGTCCAAAAGCAGCATTCCAGGGAAAGAATCCATTGAAACAGGGCTGAATTGAGCAGTTGAAAAAGCATCAAAATGAACTTGATACTGCATATACGGACTCTCAATGATAATGCTGGCAGTGGAGCTGTTTGCATCTCCAGCCTGGCAATAGAGTGCAGCTGGGTGAAAGAAAGTGCTGTGCGGCCACTGGGCGGGCACATTGGTCAAAGGAAGCGATTCCCGCAAGTCCCCGCTCCCTTCCAGTCGCCGCCCAAAGGTGGATTGGCCGGAGAAGAGGCCCAGGCTATTCAACAAAGACTCTGTACCTAAGAAAAGCCAACAAACCTGCAACACAGCTGTCATCCTTCGCACAGACTTCCAAGGTAAGCGATGATGGCCAACTCGCTTGCGAGACTTGAAGAAAGGTCTGGGTTCCAGATCTTGCTCGCTGACACCCATAGCCTCTACATCTCCTCTCTCAGCCATTAAGAGTGCAGTCACTTCGTGCTCAACATCCTGAACTCGCTGGAAAACCTGATTCATGTCAAGAACCTTCGTACTGGGTGCCAGTGTCCAAACAGCAACATTGCGTGCGAGATCATAGTGCTGCGTTGATCCATCTGCCCTTCTTTGCAAAGGTCCAATGACTGCACCATGGAATTCATTCTGCTGCTGTTCCAATTCAGTCAGTTCGTTCCAAGTTCTCAAAGCACGAGCATCCAGATGGTTTGGATCATAGGGCACCCCACGTCTGCTCTTCAACTTCATAAGGCAGCCGTGGTAGCGCTGACGCCACTTGAGGAATTCACTTCGCAAATTGCGAAGTTGGTTTGCTTGAAATGTTGTCAGCAAGTCTTCTGGAACAGCCTCCCAGCATCTCAGGGCAGACTGAGCACTCTCCATTGCAAGAATGGAAGCTGCGGCTTGTGTCTGCTGGACCTCTCGTCTGCCCACATCACCTGCCTGCTCATCGAGATTTCCATCCACTCCAGCAGTCACGGTGACATGCTCTGCTTCTGTGGGATCATATGCCGCATCACCGAACACATCCAAAAAAAGAACGGTACGGAATCGCCGTGGCAAGGAGGCCTCATCTTTCGTTGGCCTGGCAGCCTGCATGAAAAGTTCCAACCACAAGGCTTCCAAGAAGGCACATGCAGGAGCTGCATAGAATGCCGAGCACAAGGCTTCAATTGGTTCGTTGGATTCCCTGCCAACATTTGCAAATGTTAGCATGATCACCAACAAAACCATGGGCAAACTCCCGACAATCTGCAAGGACATGATCTGCCAGGTCTTCAGTCCAGCAATGTCCAGGAACATTAAGCCAAAGGCGCATGATTGGAAAATGATCGTCGCTGCATAGCCACAGCTCGGCGAACATGTCTGGATCATCGTCACACCTACCACAAAGTAATTCACCGATTGAATCATCTGGTTCACTCCCAAAGCCATGGAAACCCGAGCGTAAGCATCATAGCACTGCCACTTGGCCTGCAACTTCCGGAACAGTTCCACGTGCTTCCCTGGAACGCTGGCTGCAGCCTTCATCAAAAGATCTTCACGACCAAAACCCTTATCCTCTTGCACTCCCAGTCGTGTCTCTGGTAAAGCGTTTTGCTTTGGTCCACTCAAAGCCTTTGGGCTGCCTGAACTCTGAGAAGCGGAGGCATCTTTTCTTTGTGCCTCCAACTGCCACTGTTGTTCCTGTGTTGGTCCGAATGGGAGTCGCATCACTTTAGAGAGGCCTTGTTTTTCAAAGTCGGACAGTTTTGTTGTCAGGCTTTGAATCTGGGACAAGTTGGGAATTGGAAGTCTGACATATCTCGTTCTGAGGCGCACTCCAAAGCTGTGTGAAGCAATCGAAGCATACATGCTCAACCACACTGCCAAGAGCAAATACACAAAGGAAGCCGCCACCGTTAACAAGTAGAGTCCCATGAAAAAGGATGGTTGTGGGCCTTCTATGATACCCTCACAATAGACAAGCGCGGTGAAACTCAAGAAGAGTGCTCCAACAATGTGATACATATCCATCTTGTCGACTGTGAGCTTCACCAAGTCCTCAATGTCTTCTCGAAAAAGGTCAAAGCGATTGATCTGCATCTCCACTCTCTGCATATCTCGCTCGAGTCGCTGTTCCTGGTCAAATTTGTAATTTTCTCGGTTGTAATCAAAGAGCTCCTTGGAGGCAAGCCCGAAAGCTTCGAGGACCACCATGGCGTTTGTGGCGCGGCTGCGGGCAAAAGGGGTCCGCTAAAGTTAGGGGAAAGGGAAGAAAGAACAGCTGCAACCCGCCTGCCCAAATTGATAAAATTGTAGGTAGATGTTTTTGTATCATGGCATGCGTGCCTTAACTTCATTGTGCAAATTGCGTCCTCGCCTTCGTCACTCGCCTGCAGTTTGAACCAAAGCGTCGAAATAGTTTCGGCT